TCCCAACCCCTCCCCACCCTATCCCATCCCATCTCATCTCATCTCATCCCATCCCATCCCATCTCACCTGTATGTTTGGTTGTCTGGGATGTATGTGGACCTGAGATTCTGCATGGGAGTTAGGGACCATCTGGGACCAACAGGCTGGCTTTTTAGAGCTACCATCCCCAGCTCATCTTATGTCTGTATGGTCCAGATGAGTATAGTGGAATATTAAAAGAGCAATTGTACCTGGCATTTTCTCTGGAGTGATGGCCACTTAGACCTTGAAATAATCTCTTGTAAATAATCAGTGATTGAGATTTATAAGGTTGCTCTTTCTTGGGAATTTCAGAGCCTTGGCATAACCTCAGTCATAAGACATTCCTGGCAAACCTGAGATTCTTATAATGACTGTGTTTACTTAGGTAATGGTTTCTTGAGACAAGTCCTAGTTCAGATAAGAGATTTTGGTATGCAGGAATTGACTTGCTAAAAGGCCTTTTGTGTAGCAGTAAAATGAGCTTCTGAAGAGTCACTAGGCAGCCAGTCCATCAGAGGCGAATTCTCCTTCTTCTTCTACTGAGAAGCTTATACACCCTTCAGTGTTTCTCTTTCTTTGACTGACCCTTGTAACTAAGAACACCAGTTGAGCCCTTCTCACAGATTTGACAAGGGGTTCATTCCCCCGATTCCCCCGATGAGGAACCTTCCATGTTCCTCAGCCCACCTGGCACTCACTTCTCTCTAAGAGCCTTGTTAGTCGTGGCTCCGTTGATCATAAGATCTGACATGTCCAAATCTCATCAGGTTAAAAAAAAATCAACACAGGGCTGCAAAAATGATACCTGTGCTGGCTCTGCTGGCTCCTCTTCCTGCCCATGCCTCCTTCTTGACCCAGGAGGATCCTTTCCTTATCCTGCCCTTGGGATATTGTGACAGCTGTGGTGTCCAGGCCCCCAGGCCAGAAGAGCATGAGCAACCCTGCACAGAAGTCACTGCCAGGGTTGTGGGTAGGCCCAGCACAGTGATTCCTGGGATAACCTCCTTTGCTAGGAGTGAGGTAACAGTGCCAGCCACTTCAACTGCTGAGTTGGAATAGCTCTTTGTCCCTGGATCTAATGTATCTTCTTTCAAACCTGAAGCTTTTCTGGTTGAACTGTCCAGAGCCCTAACTCTCATTCTCCATCTCCTGGCATCATTGGCCTCTACAAGTCCCACTAGAACATGCCACACTACTGCCCACAGTAGTGTCACACTGTCTCCACAGTCTGATGACCCCTACCTGTGGAGATGCAGGATTTGCCATCATCACCCAGGAAGTAACCACTGGCACAGGAACACACCACTGTGTTCTGCTCTTCACTGCAGAACTGGTCACAGTCTCCGTTGTCTAGGCTGCAGAGTTTCCGAACAACTGCAAAGCAGAGAACAGAGGAGCCCTTCTCATAGTCATGTGATGATTTCAGACATGCTAGCTCTGTCTGCCCAATCTCACCCATTCCCAGTCTGGGATATGCAAAGGACAGAATCCCAAGAAAGACACACATGGGTGGTTTCCATGATAATGGGACAGGCAGTCAAACTAGATGCCAGCCTCATGTAGGTCTTTCTCTCTAATGCTGCTTCCCCAGACCATGGGAGGGACAGTTGACATATGCACAGGTTACAGGAGAAACACCTGACATCCTCACAGGCCATGAGAGGGACACTCAGCATCCTCACAAAACTCTCCAATTAGAACCTTTGTGAGGGAGGGCAGGTGCATGGTCTCTGTTGAGGGCTGTGCACATCCTGTTCATCCAGGCTGCTGCCCTTGGCATGGGGGAAGAGTTGCATCATGGCTGAACCTCTTCCTTCCCTCACTCAATAACAATGGACAGTATTTGAGTCCAGCCCTGGCCCTAATGATGCACCAGGCACCATGCCGTAGGCATGCTGTGTTTTAGGATCTGGGTTCCTGTGAGACTAGGAAGGAATCATTCATGGGAAGTGCGTGGCAGAAAGCCAGGAGACAGGTCCAGAGTAGATGCAAGTGGGGGGTTTGGGGGGTATCATCTAAGTCTTACCACTCTCTCCACTCTATTAAGTCATGGAAGTGAAGACACTTCAGGCTACATGAAATTGCGGCATTGCACCAGCTTAACTCCCTTGGTAACTTCTGACTGATTCCATATACCTCCATCCATAGCTTCTTGGACCAGAGGTACCCACCTGCTTCCAGCACAGGATGATCCACCTCACACTCATAGCCATGTCTGCAGCAATTTGCTTTGCAACTCTCTACTTGGGTGAAAAAATAATTACGCAGTAAAATCTACCTCGATGGAATCTTAGCTCGGGGATTGTGCTCCTCACTAGATGTTAGTCTGTTGTGTACAGGAGATGTCTGAGTTTCTATGGAATGGTTCACAATCAGCAGCTCCACTGGGGAGAGTCCTGGGGACATGCAGAGAAAGATCTCACTCTATAAGGAAAGTAACTTAACCCTGGACATGGTGACATAATACACCTGTAATCTTAGCACTTAGGAGGCTGAGGCGGGAGGATTGCTGGGAGTTCAAATCTGGAGTGGGCTATATAGTAAGTTCTATGCCAGCCTTGGTTAGAGAGTGAGACCACAGCTAAAGACAAAAGCAATAAACAAAGAAGTAAAAGACATGCAGATCTTTTTTGTTAGGGAAAACTGGGCCGAAAATAAGCTAAATTACCATAGAATCAACTAAGTGCATGACATATCTAAAACTAGGCAATCTAGAACATTCCTTGCTGATGTTTGTGGTGACAGATGTAAATAGAGGAGGTGACTCAGCCCACTGTGCCAGAGAAGAAATAAGAAGAGTAGCATGAACAGTCTAACTGATTCTCATCTGTTCTGCCATGCCACCTGCCTCATGGTGACACAGCAGCTCTGACCCACAGGGAAGCATTGTCTCTCACGCTGCAACCCACAGAGCATCTAGAGGATGGATGGTTCAATGTGTCAGAGAACTACAGACGACTTAGGTTGTCTGGTTGGGTATTTCGGTGTCTCCCCTCCTCCCTACTTTCGGTATGACCCCCAGGTCCATCAAGCAGAGGGAGGACTTACAGAATTCACAGTTTTTGCCTTCGAATCCCTCCAAGCAGGTGCATGTGTACTCCCCAACGCCATCACGACACTTGCCTTGATTCTGGCAAGGATTGTTGTCACACTGGTCACCATCTGCAATGAGAGGATTTGGAAACCAAGGCTGAAGTCATTTCATCACGGGGACCACTGACACTGTGTGGTCCCTGCATCCACTTTGCAGATAGCTTGAGCTTGCTTCTCCTCCTTGAGAATAATTCATCATACCTAGATTTGTTTAGTCCCTACTTTGGTGGCTATGTATGTGTGATACCCTGTCCCTTGCATCATTAGCTGAGTCCCTGATTTCTGCTGGCATGTATTACAATGTGTTTGTGGCCAGGGAGAGGTTCTTTGTCTCCTCTGCAAAGGAGGGGGACAAGGGACATTGTGACACTTGTTTCTGGACTGGATGCTGACCAGAGAAGGTGGGAACTCTTTTTCCCAAAAGCCTCTGGGTGTGAAATGAGAATCAGGGGGTGATCTGGTTCTGGATCAGGTTTCACTTTTTTGGTATGTCACTCACCTCATGGGGTGAGGGGCCATCTAATTGCCATTTTGAAATAACTTCCAGGTAGCCATCACCAGTGTGGTCTCTGATGCTATGAACAGTCATAAGGCTGGCCACCTTTTAGAAAGTCCAGTATTTCAAGCTCCACCATTTGCTTCAGCTTGCTATACATGTTAAAGATGACATGGGATTTTGTATTATCATGTAAGGAAGAACTGGCTGAAGTCTGTGTCTGAGGCAGACATGGTAAGAAAACACATACAGCCCCAGTTACTCAAGAGGCCGAGTAGTGAGGGTGGCTTGAACCTGGGGGTTTGTGGCTACTGTGGGCAACAAGATCCCATTTAAAAAGACGTGTATTTTAATAAATAATAAAACTGAAATCAATATAAACTCACTATAAAATACTTTAAATAAGTCTCATGGAAAAACAAAAGGGAAAAGTGTAGATAAATAAGATTGAACGAGGGTGTAATTAAAAATGTTTCACGAAGCCAATCCTTTTTCCTAATTTAAATGTTAAGGAGTTTCTCAGGATTGAAATAGGAAACATCTTACCTACATATTTGTTCCAGAATTCATCCTAAAAGAAAAGAAAAATTTAAAACACATGAGAAAAAACCAGACATTTCACATTAACAGTAACCGTCTCTAGTAGCCTGTCCCGAGGAATGTTTCAGAACTTCTCCTCCAAGTATGACCTTAACTAGACATGGAACTTTGTGGATGTAAATGAGGGTGAAGACCCAGGTTCGATCACCCAGAATTATCTCATGCTCTTAACCAATGACAGTGTCCATTTCAAAGTAAAGAAAGGCCACCTGGAGCCAACAGTGGTGGGAGGTCATGGGAGATGACAGCAGAGGTTGGGGTAACATCTGGAGTCACAGCATAGAGTTTCTTTGGGCACTTCCAAAGGACCTGGCCTGGCCTGGGTATTAGTTTTGCACTCATTGCCTCCAAAATTTCAAGTGAATAAATCCTTGTTACTTGAAGGCATTCTGCTAGTAGGACTCTGTTTTGGTAGTCACAGTGATGAATGTGCTGTCTCTGCAACATTTCAGTTTAGACTGGAGATATAGCCTGGAGAAGAGCACTTGGCTAGTTTGTAGGAAGCCCTTGATTCAATCTCATGGGCGAAGAAGAGAAAGACAGAGATCTTCTTGGTGCAGAATATATTTTAAAAAGTCAAACAGAAATTGGGCATGATGGTACATGCCTTCGATCCCAGCACTTTGGAGTTGAGGCAGGAGGATTGAAGTTCAAGGTCATTCCACAATTCATACTGAGTTTGAGGCCAGCCTGGGCTACATGAGTTCCTGTCAGAAGAAGGAAGGAAGGAAGAAAGGAAGGAAGGAAAGAAGGAAGGAGGAGGAGGAGGGGGAGGAGGAGGAACCCAGTTTCTCCTAATTTAAATGTTACACCATAAAATCCATTCCTTTGTGTGTACAATTCTTTGAACTTTAGCACATGTGTAGATATGTATGACTACCATATAATCAAAATACATACAGCCCTGTCTCAATCCCTCAATCCCTCAATCACAGTCCCCACCCAGCCCTGAAACCTGTCAAGTCCTGGTAGCCACCACAAACCTTCTGTTCTTCGATAAAGCAATGACTTTTAAAGAATGTCTGATAAATGAAATCATACAGGAAATAAGCCTGTGAAATTCTCTTCAGCACCATGCCTCCAGAATATGTCCAGCTATCTGTGTACCCGAGTTTGCTCCTGCTTGTTGATGGCTCAAACTGTGCTTACCTTCATCTAACAGTGGGTGACTCTCATGCTATTTCCAGCTTGGGGTAATTATGATTGGAGCTGCTATAAACAGTTATGCCTGGGCAGAGAGGTGGTGGTGCATGTCTTTAATCCCAGCACTCAGGAGGCAGAGGCAAGTGTATCTTCAAGGCCGGCCTGGTCTACAGAGTGAGTTCCAGGACAGCCAAGGCTATACAGAAAGAAACTCTGTAATTGAAAATGCCTGATGCAAGGCAGTTTTTATATGAAAAATATGTTTTTGTCTTTCTAGGTAAGTGCTCAGGGATGGTTTCCCCACAGCAGTGGGTCACTTTACATGACTTTCTGAGAAACTCACCCTATTTCAAAGTCCATGTGCGGTGCACTTCCCCTCAGGTAGCACATGAATTTGGATTCTCTGATGACTTCTCAACCACCTCCCCCCCAGCTCTGTCCTCTGCCTATAGTCAGCTGCCAGCCACAGCTATACTGATACCCACTATCAGTATAGTAGGCCTTGATGTGCCTTTACCTTGAATCCCTGTGATGGCTAGTGGTGTGGGTGTCTTCTCAGGCTTGTCAGCGTATTTTGTCTTTGGTGATGTAGTTCCAGTTTTTTGTTCATTGAGCTTTCTTACCTGTTCATTTCTTCTCTTGGGCTATGAGTTTTTTAGAGATTCTGGATCCCTTATTGGAGGTGTGAGTTGCAAACACTTTCTTGGTCAGTAGCTTATACATTCATTCTCTTAACTGTTTCACTCCCACCCCCGGGGGGGGGGATTTCAATCTGACAAAGTCTGGTTGATTAAATTTTCTCTTTTGAATTATTTTTGGGTGTCATACTTAAGAACTCTGGCTAGTTCCATGTCCTACATTTTTACAAAATGTTTTTCTTTGTTTGCCTTTAGATCTCTGGTTCATTTTGTTTAGTGCAAGGCTTGTCTTTTTAGGATATAAGTATTTGAATACCATCTCCATGTTTTGCCCTCCAGTTCACAGGTTGAACCTAAGTGTTAGTGCTTATAAAGAATGGAATCTGTCTCCTGGTGAAAACGTACCCTTCTCTCTCCCCCCCCTCTCTCTCTCTCTTTCCCTCTCTCTCTCTCTCTCTCTCTCTCTCTCTTTCTCTTGAGAGGGTTCTGTCTCCTGGTGAAAACGTACCCTTCTCTCTCCCCCCCCTCTCTCTCTCTCTTTCCCTCTCTCTCTCTCTCTCTCTCTCTCTCTTTCTCTTGACAGGGTTTCTCTGTGTAGCTTTGGAGCCTATCCTGGCACTTGCTCTGGAGACCAGGCTGACTTCGAACTCACAGAGATCTGCCTGCCTCTGCCTCCCGAGTGCTGGGATTAAAGGCTCGTGCCACCAATGCCCAGCTTCCTCGTCTCCTCTCTTAAGGGTTACTCTTGTGTGATAGGTAGGTAAGGGGCCTGGCTGGGGGACTACACACAGGAAGATGGGTTTACCCTAAGATAATGTTTTTCTTCCTACCCTCCTGCCCTCTTGAATACTCCTTAGGAGCCACCATGAGGGTCAGTTGGATCTGCCCACCCTACTAAGTCTTGACATTATGAAGGAATAACTGAATTTTCTTCTTATTGTTTAGATGCTGGCTGGAGTCTAACCATACTTCTTTTTCTATCCGTTGTGTGGCTGCTTACATCTAATGGATGACATCAATGCCACCTCATTCGAGTAGCATGGCTTCTGTTCCTTCTTTGCATTCTCCTCCTCCCCCATATCCAGACCAGGCTGGGTGATTTCAGTGGGATCATAACAGACTGTGTGGTCACACAGACCATAGAGGTATTCAGGGTAGTGAGTCAAGTGAACCTCTAATCTTGAACTTGGCATTCATGTTCTTAAGTCTAGTCAATGTCATTAACTCCCAAAATCTTACAGTAAAGTTCCAGAACAATCCTTATATCTGAGTTTTGCTATGTTAGTGATGCAATGCACGGCATTTCTAAAGTCAGGGATGATTTTTAGTGTGGTGCATTGCTTCCTCAGGAAATTGTTCCTGATCAAGTCCAAGTCATCCTTGAAGGACAAAGGAGGACGCAGTGTTTCCAGAGCCCAGAGGTGGCCATGCACGCGGCTTTGTAGATCATGACACTGACCTTTCCTACTTCTCCAGGGTCCTGACCTCAGATGTTTCCTAGGGCTGTTTGTTATTTGACATGTATAAATGAACCCTCTCACCACTCCTTGAGAGGGCCTTGCCTTGTAACTTGGCCTTTCTGATGGTTTGAATATGACCTGTCCTTCTGAGGCTCATGTCCTGAATACTTGGTGTCCAGGTAGTGGTGCTATTTCGGGGCATTCTGCAAACTTTAGGTGGGGCTTATCTGGAGGAAAAGATGATTGGGTGGGGGGTGTCCTTGGCTCCAGCTCCTTCCTGCCAGCCCCTTTGCTTCCTGTCTGCCATGAGGAGAGCATGTCTCTTCTGAGGACTGCTAGGGTCTCTGCCTAAGATCATGAGATGATCATGAGATGATCGCAGACCCTAAGAGCCCTTTGATAGTGACAGCCATAATACTTCATACCTCTAATTGTTTTCTCTGGTATTTAGTCACAGCACCTGAAAGCGACTGGCCCAATTCCAGTCCTAGGAGTCACACAGGTCTGAGCCCCTTGGTCAGATGGCCCTGGCTGCAGGTGCTGAATTGCTAAGTGGAGTCAGTGACATGGATATGATAGTCACGCAGGTGGTCTTCAGTGGTGGAGTGGCAGTGGATCTTGTAGTTTCCACTTGGGTCCAACAACTGCTTGGAATAACTGTTTCTCCCTAAGTTTTTCCTTGGCCACATTTTAGGGGTGTCTTTCCTCTTTAGCTCATTCTTGTTACTTGGGGCTCAGATTTCCACTGGGCCGTTGATATACATATACATATACATATACATATACATATACATATACATATTTTTTCCTTAGCTTAACTTGGTCATATTTGCAAGTTCTAATTACTCCTTTGTGATGTGGCATAACCCTTCCCCTCAGTTTTCCCACTCAGGAAGAGAGCTGGAGAGAGGCAGAAGAGATCAAAATGAATGTTCTATAGGCAAAAGGCTAGGATAATATGCCTGGCCATCTAAGCCCTTGCTTGCTTTCCCTGACTACAAGCTTGTAGGTAAAGATCCCAATCTGAGCCAGCCTGGGACCCTGCAGCAGCACAGGAGCTGGGATGGCCCAGCCCCAGCTAGAAAGGAAGGTGGGATGGCCTAGCCATCCCCACATGGACCTGGCCTGACTCACCGTCTTTGTATTATCTTCGAAAACTTCATGGGCCTCTTCATAACTACAAGTTTCTTCCATACACTCTCTTTCCAGATTTCCTTTCTTCAACTCTTCAAAAAATGAGTTTGCTCTTCGAATTCTTGTCAGGACATTGTTGGCACGTTCCTGGTTAATAAACACTAGAAGACAGAGAAGGACACCGGTGAAAGGCCCTTACCAGTTACCAGTCTTCATCTCACCCAGGACCTTTGCACATGCTTTCTTCCCATCTGGAACATTCTTCACTGGTATGATGATTACCCTTCATTGTCAACCTACACTAAGACACACACCTCTGGGTGTGTCTATGATGGTGTTTCCAGAGAGAACTAACTGGGGGGGTAAAGTGAGTGTGGGCATGTCACCACATGACCTGGGAGCCTAGAGAGGGTAAAAGAGGAGAAAGGAAGGTCAAGCTTCCTGGATGGCATGGTGGGAGCTGCTCCACTCTGTCAAACCCTCCCTGCCATGACAGATTGAGACCTCTGAATCCACGAGTCAAAAGAAACCCTTCTTCGATAAAGCTGCCTGTGCCAGGCATTCGGTCACAGTGATGCAAATGTGGTTGGTATGCCCAGACACACACATGGATCTCTCCACTGCATGACCCCTCAGGAGGTCCACCATCCTGACTGTCTCTGCATCTCTTGGACCCCCCTTGCCTTGTGTCACACAGTATATGGCTGCTGTCTGATGTTGTGTATTGCTGCTGTCACCTCAATGGGAATATGGTCCCATAAACAGGTGTGACTTGTCTGTCTGTGGCTGTTCCAGGCCTGGAAACAGGGTGTGCTTGCTAAGTCCCTTCCAGTGGATGAAGACAGCTGGTCTGGCCTTCAGGCCCTGTCCCTTTGACTAAGTCTTAGCCTCTATGAATGGCTTTGCTGGGACACTATACTCACTCCCTAGACAGTCACGCAGGCCCACTCTGCAGGCAGCCATAGGTTCTGATTTGAGTAAAGTCAAGATTGGCAGCATGAAACTGTAACATGGTAACATTGTGAAAACTTGCCCATGGGAACCAGCAAAGACTCAAACATCCTGACACTGGCATCCTACTGCTCAGTGCTGGCTGTGTTTTGTTGCTTGTGGCCTTTGATTTTCCAGCTCCTGCACAGTGCTGTCCTTAAATGTGGGGGGTTGTCTCTGTGGTTCTGGCCTTGGCGGTGACACGCAGGCATTGGCCCATCGACCGGGCATCTGGTTTGCCAGCCATGTTTTCCTCAGTAAGGACCAAATGCGTGGGAAGTGCCCCTGTGTTGCCAAGGTTGCTTCTTGTACTGGTGCAAGGCCAGCTCCATGTGACCTGAGCCTGCTGTGGGTTAACTAAAATGAGCCCTTCTTTTGAGCATTTCTGGAGGCTGCTTGCTGCCTGTTTGTACAGCCGTGTCTTGTTCAGTCCCTGGCCCAGTGGAGCTTCCCAAGCTTGGGAGCCCTGGCTCCTGTCTCTTCCATACCTGGGGTGGCTTTATCTCCTCTGTTTATCTCTTTCTCCTTATCTCTGCCCACCCTTCTCTCCTTACCACTACTCCCCTCCGTCTCTGTTTTGCCTCCCTTCTCCCTTCTCCAGGCCCTTTCACTAGTAACTTTGTGTGCCCTGCATGAGTAGTCGCAGCTGGCCCTAACTATACCAGTAGAAGCCAGTGGGTGGCTGGGCCAGTGTACCAACCATCCTGGCCTTCCAACTACCCACCCTCTCACCTCCTCCTGGGCCACTCTGCAGTGTGAAGGGCTGGAGCACTTACTACTTCTTCCAGGTAACAGGAGGCTGGCCAGGACAACATAGAGCAGGTTGAGTCGCAGCAGGCTCCCCATGGTGTGGTCAAGGACAGCAGCTTCTGTGACAGGCATGGGACAAGGTTCACTCACCGGGGGCCCCAGGTGGCCATGGTCCCTCTGCTTATCTAGCCTCCTGATTGGAGCCTAGGCCAGCAATGAGGTCAGAGGACTGGGAACTGCGGTCACCAACCCCACCCTTTTCCGGGCTGGCTATCCTTATCCCAAACTGCCTGGGAGGTCTTGCTTTGTACTAAGAGCAGCAATACCATTTGATGGGCATTTTCTAGTTTTTAATACTCATCCCACACTGCTAGTACTGGTAAAAGTGTCACTTTCTCATCATCTCTTGTTCAGAAACAGAAGCTGAGATACACATGAGGCAAAGTCTGGGTCCAAGGGCACATGCGGGATTTACACCCAAGCCCTCAGTCCTCTGGATGGCCCCAGCTAACTCTTGGCACAAGTATAAATGTGAGGATCATGTGTCCCTTGGACAATGGCTATACAATGTCGTCATGGAAACAGGCTGGCCTACTGGGGGACAGGAACCCTGAACTGTTCGTGTCTTGACACACGTTCACTTCTCTGACACGTGACATCTAGTAGAGTCCACATGGCCCATGACACACATCAGGGTTGACAGAGGGTGTGTTGGCCCATCAGGCCTGCCATTTCCAACATTGTTGTAGGCCTGAAGGGTGGAGAATGTGTGAGGGGAGGTTTGGTGTTTGATGGTCATGGCCATTTTGCAGAGTACATGGTCCACATCTTGGATTGGTTTGACAAAGGGGTGGCCATTTTCCCTCAGTCCTGAAAGAGGAGGCCAGAGAGGAGTGAGTGGTTCAAGGACTGTAAATGTAGGAACAGCTCCTTTCCCATGCTGTGGCCACGTGACTCTGCTGGGAGTGTGTATATGTGTAATTGGGGCTGTAGGCCAGGCAGTGGGGCTTCCCCTAAGCCCAGAACTCTTTCTTGTAATAGACTCAGAGGTTCTGAGCTCATGGCCTGTCACCAGGAGGTACCTCTGAAAGTCTATGCTTCAGAGACCCCGAGGAACAGCAGTAGCAACAGCAGCAGCAGCAACAAAACTCTAAAATTTGACCTCTGAGGGGACAGTGCTCAGCCTGTCCCCACTTTCTTCAAGTAGACAAGATTGCTGGAGATCATGTTGACCCGGTCCTCCTGAGAAGCCTCATCTGGTGGGGATATTTTTGAGCCTGGGGAGTATGCACACCGTGTCTGTATATTAGCGAGCAGAAATGGAACTCCTTGTGCCCACTGTACTGGCTACAGCCTGTGATGCCTACGGTGGTTGGTTAGGCAATGGCTCATAACTGTGGCTGCCTGCACATAGCCAGAGAGTACTGGAATGGTGTTTGGCTTATCGATGTTGTCAGTGCTGAGAGGGCCTTGGCACGCTGTGCGTGCCTGACAAACACACCCAGTCATGTTGCGACTGCTGCTGGCATCTCACCAGGAGGGAGGTCACTGCCATTAATCAGGCTGTGCCAGACTGTAACAGAACTTGGAAAAGATGTGTGACAGCTCTGGTGGCTGTTAACTTCTGCCCTGCCTAGAGATGTCTATGGAGGTCACTGTGCCTACACTGAATCTGTGATGGCATCAAGGGTGAGGTGGGGGGCGGATTAGGACCAAATACTAATGCTGGGTTTGGGGGGTCCTTCATTTGTACCCAACCCTCTCTCTGGCCCCACTCCCAGAAAGGAAGTGCTGATTGGAAAATAAGCACATCCCATAATGATCATGGCAGTCTTTGGGGAGCTAGATCCTCAAGTAAGGTCTCTCAAGGGCTCTTGGTGCCATCTCAGGACAGCTCTTCAAGAGGGATACCTGTATTAGCTGCTGATGACTAGGGAGACTGAGGGTGTGCAAGCCCTCGATCAAACCCTCTCAGTCCACCTTCCCTTTCTCCCCAGGAAGGACAACCCTGCCAATGTGCATCTGACTCGGCATTGGAGGCTCCACTGGGAGTTAAGGTCAACCCAGGGGAACAGCAGGCATCCCCAAGGTGTGCTGAGAAGGTCAGCCACTCACTGTAAGGCTGGAAGCAGTGAATGGCAGGAGCAGGAGCATGCACTACCTCAGAAACACTCCCTTGGGAAACCGGGAAGGACAACTCCACATGCTCAGATGGTGTCTCTCATTTAATTGAAATAAAGACAGGGTACTCACACAAAAAAGAAAGAAACACAAGTGAACAGTGGTGCAGACGATGTATGTGCCATGAGTGCACACACATGCATGCACATACATATGTCTATATGCACGTGTGTGCCCTGCAGCATTGCAGGCAGAGCACATGCAGACTGGAGGCAGCTGCAGGGATATAGTAGCAAGGGCGGGCCTTGGCTCTCTCAGGACCACCCTGCCCCTTTGGGCTGCCTGCCTGTGGCTCTACCACCCAGCCCCTTTGAGAGTCTTTGTTAGTCTCTAATTCTGACCCTCCCCTCTGCTTCTCTCCCTGTTTCCCTCTCTCTCTCTGACTCTCTCGTTTGTCTCCCCCCTGTTTCCTTCACCCTTTCTTTATCTCTTTCTCCTTCCCCACCCCAAGAATATCAGGAGACTACACAGCTTCCTCCTTGAGAAAGGCTGGGCTGTCCAAGGAGCTAGAGTAGTTTCACTCGGTGAACCCCAACCTGGAGCTTGGAGTCCATGAGCCTGATCAGCCAATCTGCGTACCTGGAGACCCTGGTGTATACCCCAACATGGCCAACAGCTGCACAGCCCTCCCCCCAGCTGACCACACCTGTCAGGTACCACGTGCCACGGTAGTGTGTGGCATGTGGGCCACCACTGTCGCCTTTGCAGGCATCCTTGGTACCGTCCACATAGCCAGCGCAGAACATATTATCTGTGATTTTGGGGGTGTTAGAACTGTGCTTGGCATGTTCCAGGCAGTCCTGGGTCATCATCCGGGGCACTTCGACAGCCATGAGCTCCAGGGCTGTGGCACCACGGTCCAGCAGCTGGCCCCAGCCACTGACCCTTGAGAAGCGGATTCTGGATAGGGTGCTCTCAGAAAAGGCCCTTTCAGGCAGACACAGGGGTACCACATAGTCAGTGAAGGTCACAGGCCGGTGGAGGCGAAGCAGGGCGATGTCATGGTCGATCTTGCCTGGGATGTACTTGTCAGGGATAATGACCTGTACCACCCGTCGTACCTGCTCAGGCCCGTCCTTCTCGCTGAAGTCATGCTCACCTGAGAGGACCACACCACTCATGGCACACATCCTACCATGTGTGGCCGTATCCCCACACAGAATTCTTGCTTGTCTTGGCCCTCTGGCCTAGAGTATATGGACAGGGTTGTGGCCCATTCAGCCTCTGGTATCTGGAGGATTTGTATCCTCCCTGGGGTCCTGGGAAAAACATGCACCAGGACCCACTGCAGTTACAGAAGGAAGGCTGTGAACGGGCCATGTCTAGAACCAGGGTATTGAGGAAGAGTGAGGAGTGGACGGGACTCTTGCCACCCACTCTGAGAGGGGCAGGATGGAAAAAACAGCCCTAACCCTCCCTCTATTCCCTGAGGGGAGGAAAAGCTCAGAGGACAGAGTGGGTCAGCTCTAGTGAGGCCCTTCCTGGAGTTGTCATCTGGTCAGTCTGAAAATGCCTCATGTGAGAGGCCAGGGACAGGCCATACCTACCCATCACCACGGTTATGTTCCTCCAGCTCCGTATACCATCAAAACAGTGGGCTGCAGACACTATCCACGTGGTGTCCATCAGGATGGCCCCACATAGCAATATCCCACTGCTTTTCAGCACAGCCTGGGTCGGGGAACACGGAGACAGAAAGTCACACTATTTTTTATGGTCTCCTTGTCCCTAGGAAGCAGCTAGATTGGCAAGATTCCTGCCTGCAATACAAGGCCCTGGGGACTGAGAGCAGCTCTGGATCTGGGGGCCCTGGTAGAACACAGGGATGCTGGACAATGGGATACACATGCAGGTCCTCAAGTGACCCCCCTGAGGCAGCAGCAGACCGTGCATGGTTTTCTGCATGGCCCTTCTTTCCCTTTCTCTGCACAAGTGTGTATTTATGTGTATGGGGAGGGGGTACCTTGGGATGTGGGTGGGGTGGAGGCCAGCCCATGTTCCTTGTGTGTAAAAATGACCCAATTCAAAATTTCCACACTCTGGAGAGAAACCCTGGAGTCAGGGGGAAGCAGAGCTGGAGAAGTGGAGTCTGCACAGGAGGCAGAACCTTACCTGCCATGGGCACTCCCCTTTGGGGCACACCTTGCCTCCCACAATCCGGCCTTGGGGGCTGCTGGAGTTTCTTTTTTCCACAACAGGTATTTTCCCACATGGATACTCAACTGTATGAAATAGAAATCAGGAAGAGTGGGGCGCTGAGGTTAAGGTGCTTGTGGGTAGGGGTTCAGAAGCAGCTGGCCCCTGCCAGGGACAGTGGGAAGCCTCAGGGCAGAGGAGATCAGTGCTTCCCTCTAGAGTGGGCAGGGGGAGCCTATTACAGCATCTGTGAGAGGAGACAGACACTGATTTGGGAAAATTGAGACCTTGCTTTCTAGAGCTGAGGTCTGCTGAATCTTCATAGGGAAGACATGGTAGATCTTCACAGGGAAAACATGCTAGGTCTTCATAGGGAAGTCACACTAGATCTTCATAGGGAAGACATGCTAGGTCTTCCTAGGGAAGACATATAGCTTGGGTTTGCTACAAGGTGAGGGATGATCTGTGTGAAAATGAACCACCCACACAGAATGACCTGCTATTTTGACCTCACTCATGCTCCTTCCCACACTGCAGAGTCCTTGTGTAAGAAAAAAGATTTAGTTGTGGTCGGCTGACCTCCAGTTCATGGACCAGGCTGAACCCATCCTCTTCCGAAGAAGCCTCGGCCCTTGGAAGTACAGCTTCAGTCATCTCATGGAGAACACTGGTTTTATTCAAGCTGCACGCCTTTAAGGCATTTGGAGAGGTGGTTCAGCAGTTAAGAGCATTGACTGCTCTTGCAGAGGACCTGAGTTTGGTTCCCAGCACCCACATCAGGCAGCTCACAACATCAGTTCTGGGGAATCTGACACCTTCTGACCTCCTCAGGCAGTGCACTCACATGTACATACTCCTGCTACCCACAGGCATGTAAGTCAGCCTATGTTCTCAACTGTGCATCAGTGGGCAGATATGCCAGGTGTGTCTGTGTGACTCCCAGGCGTGTCCTAAAGATATCCAGATTGGACATTAGAGGAGATGAAGGGCCTCTTTTCACCCCTGGCCTGACTTTAATGGGCAGGGCACTTGAGACAGTGCAGGATGCTGGCCCAGAGTTCCAAGTTAACAGCTCCCAGGCAGGGTGTCCTTCAGCTCACTGTCTTCCACCTCACAGCCATTCAGTGTCTATTAGATGCTTGCTTAGCCGGGATCTGGTCTGTTACACATCTTTGGGCTGATAACTTGCCACGGGCCAGCGAAGGTGACTGGCTCTCCAGGGTGTAAGAGCACCAGCCCTTGGGACCCATACCTTTCGGTTTGCAGGACACCCCATCTGGCTGAAGCACATAGTCCTTATGACAGCGGCAGGAGCGTTTGGTCCCTGGATGGTCAGTGCAATACTGGTCACAGCCACCATTTTCATTTGCACAGATCAGCTGGTCATTCTTGTCTGAGGACAGAAAACAGGCTGAGAGGCTGGCAGGCCAGCCATGATGGCAGTTGTCCTTGTCCCCTTGGGAGGCAGTGTGCAGCTGCAGACTATTGAGACTGAACTTGGCATCACCTGCCCTGTGGACTGATCCGGAGGGAGGAGACCTGGAGCTGGGAGCCACACATCTAAGAAGTCTCAACAGTGGCAGCCTCAGTGGCGTTTGGAGGACTCTGGGCTAGTCTGCTCTTGGCTTCTTCACAAATTTTGGTGTAACAAAATAAACATGTGTAAATCTGCAGCCAGTGGATTCTATGAGGCCCACTGAGGAACTTCTGGGGCCAGTGTGCTTTGATGGACTCTAAGCTTAACGATAGTTTGATGTTTCAGAGCTGAAGAAATACTTCACACCTTTAAACCAGCAGGCAGAGGGTGAAATACTTCATACATTTAAACCAGCAGGCGTTTAAACCAGGTGACATTCACCTGGCTGACTTGCCTGGTGGGGACAGAAGCTGAATAGTGACATAGGGACCCTTCCTCACCTCTCCGCAGATCATCAGAATCCCCAGGGTAGGGAGCCAAAAGGGACACTGAGTCTGAGACCCCAAACCTTAGACTCTCAATTTGAAGAGAGTACTTAATGTCTCCTGGACGGGTTTCCCACAGGGGCTGAGGCTGAACACCCTGGAATCAGGGACCCGGGTCCTCCCCTCCCTACTCCATCCATCTGTAAACTGAGGCAGGAAGTTGGTCTCACTCTTCTCACAGTTCCGGCCCTCAAAGTCTAGGAGGCAGAAGCAGATGTAAGACTGGAGGTGGTCCTGGCAGGTGCCCCCGTTCTGGCATGGATTCGAGGCGCATTGGTCCCCATCTGTGGGTGAGTTGGCATTAGTGTGCTGCAAAGAAGGCCCACAGGGGAGGGGCACAAATGGCTCTTCACCTACTCACCAGTGTAAACAATCCAGAACTCCTTCTGAGGGGGAAGAAGAAGCCATGTGAGGCACGCTCATGAGAAGTTGTAGCAGTTAGTGTCCATGGAGGGAGCTCAGGAGCTATGGGTGGGGCTCCTGACCTCTGTGAGGGACTTGGGAAGACAGATTCCCTCTGGCTTATCTGAGGTGGATGTTTTCTATGCCCTTTCTAGAGACATCTAAAGCCACGACACAGTAGCCTCTCTCAAGTCAGTGCACCTGAGTTCTGGCCCCAATGCGGCTCCCCCCCCCCTGCAGTGGCCTGGAACCCTAAATGTGGTAAGCATCCTTCCATGGGAGCCCTGGACTGAATAAAAAGGAAGACATGAGCTGAGCACCAGCAGACATCAGTCTCTACCTCTTGACTGAATGCACTGTGACCAGCTAGCTGCCTCGTGTTCCTGATATCACGCCTTCCCTACCTACCAAAATGGCCTTCCTCCTGAACTATGAAGCAAAATAAGCCTGTCTTTTCTTCAGTTGTTTCTTGTCAGGTATTTGGTTGTACCAATGAGAAAAGTAACTTCTGCAGGTTCCCTGTGTGAGGTGTCCTATGGGTGTGAGGACACTTGTGAAAGAGCTGTTCTATGAATGGACTGTGTCATCCTGCGTGATGTATCCTTTGAGTCTGTGAAATATCCTGTGGGAATGAGGTGTTCTGTGTGAGGTATTCTGTGTGAGGTGTTCTGTGTGAGATGTTCTGTGAGAATTTGGTATCCTGTGTGAGGTGTTCTGTGTGAGGTATTCTGTGTGAGGTGTCCTGTGTGAGGTGTTCTCTGTGAGGTTCTCTGTGTGTAGTGTTCTGTGAGAATTTGGTATCCTGTGTGAGGTGTTCTGTGTTAGGTTCTCTGTGTGTGGTGTTCTGTGAGAATGAGGTATCCTGTGTGAGGTGTGCTGTGTGAGGTGTGCTGTGTGAGGTATTCTGTGTGAGGTGTCCTGTGTGAGGTGTTCTGTGTGAGGTTCTCTGTGTGTGGTGTTCTGTGAGAATTTGGTATCCTGTGTGAGGTATTCTGTGTGAGGTGCTCTGTGTGAGGTGTTCTGTGAGAATGAAGTGTTCTGTGTGAGGTGTGCTGTGTGAGGTTTCCTGTGTGAGGTGCTCTGTGTGAGGTATTCTGTGAGGATGAGGTGTTCTGTGTGAGGTTCTCTGTATGAGATATCCTGTGAGAATGAAGTCCTCTGTGTGAGGTGTCCTGTGTGAGGTGTTCTGTGGGTGTAAATTCTCCTGTGTACATGAGTTTCCTGTGTGAGGCCTTTTGAGTGTGAAGCCTCCTGTGAGTGTAAGAACTCTTTCGAGAGAGGTGTTCTCTGAATGTGAGTGTGAAGTCTCCTGTGAGTGTGAAGCCTTTAGCATGAGAACTTGTGTGAGAGAGATGTTTGAGATGTGATATGAGTCAAAGCTGGTGAGAGAAAAAAAATCCCTTGGAGAATGAAAAATAAACCCCTCACAGTTACTTCAGGAATGTGATTAACTGTATTTTTCCAGCGATGATGACAAAACTAAACATGATGAACCCAGTCTCAAAGATTGTCCTATCTTGACACACCCTTCCTAGGGGAAAAAAAAACCACTCAAAGACAGATGTTTAACTAGAACGGAAAATGCTCAATAATGTTTAAATATGCCTCTTCTACAAAATGAAACCACAGTGCTGGGCAGGGTAGCACATACTGTAAATCCAGCAGTCAGGAGGCAGAGGCAGGAAGATAGTTTTGGAAGCTAGCCTGGGCTACATAGCAAGACCTTGCTTCAAATTAAAAGAAACAAACAAATAGAGTAACTCATAATCGAAGTACACATGGCCGTGTGGTGGAGGAAGCCACAGTGTTCTTCACATGTTCCCTAAAGGAACCACCTACTGTGGGGACAGCAGTGAGGGTTGCATGTGTGTGTGAGCAGTCCTCCCTGCTAGGGTAATCTTCCCTTCTCAGGTCAACTTCACAGGCAGCCCTAGATATTTCTGGAATAAGGATTTTCCTTTGGGAAAATAGTAGGCACATCAAGTGTGCTTTAGGAGTTATAGTTTTTTCTCTTGTAAAAATTTGCATATGGGTTTAAGTAGATGACCAGGTCAGGCACCCTGTACACTATTGCTAGGAGTCTTAGCTGGTGTCATCTGTGAGGAGAGGAGGGAGGGGAAACTGTGGTTGGTATGTAAAATAAATTTTAAAAAGTTAATTAAATAAAAAGTGTCCAAAAAGAAAGTAAATAAATAAAGAACATTAAATATTTTAAGAAATTGCATATGGTGTGGAAGCCTGTGTGTGTCAGAGTTCCTAAGCATCTATGTGAACTGAGTGACGACTATCACCAAAACGGGGAGACAGGCTCTGAACACAGGTGTGACCCTCTCCACCCTTCCAGCCTCAGTGTGCTACACAAGTGCTGCCCCCCACTGGGGGTGAAGGGCACTCACGGTCCTCTCCGTGACCTTGAAGATCTCTCGGGCCTCCTCAAAAGAACACTTTTCCTCAAGGCATTCTCTCTCCAGGGAGCCCGTTCTCAGCTCTTCCAGGAATGAGTAGGCACGCCTTTGCCGGTGTAGGACACTGTGTGCTTCCTCCTGGTTTAGGAAAACTGAGAAACAGAAGGTCCCATGCAACACAGGCAGCTTTCCTCAAGGAGCTCGGAAGTTGCCCACACTGGATCCTCCACGCCCACACTGGATCCTCTCTCCCAAAGAGTTTCTGTCCACCTTAAGTAATGGAAGGTGCATAGGTTGGTTCCTCCATGGTTTACCCTCTTCTGAGGCCTGAAGGTCTAAGACACAATACAGCTCCAGGCTTGGCTGAATTTAAATTGGGTGTGTTTTTCATTGATGGTTGGTGACAGATAACAAGGCACAGCCTTACAAAGAAGTATATGGTGATATATTCATTAGATGAAATGAAAATTTACCATATCTATGTGGTTTCACCTGCTCACTATCTCTCTTAGGGATTTATAATGAGAAAATAGTTGGAGGGTGTACAAAACCTCACAAAGTGATATATTGGTTGATATATTGCTAGTAACGGTCTGAGGCTGCCAAATGGTGGTCTCCTATGATGTCAGTGAACACAAGGCTTGAGATGTGACATCAAACAAAAAGGAGACAGTAAATCACACATTGTGTATACAGGAAATGTATATGCAAACATATATTTAAATTCTTCATCTATTCCCACATCTGTGTCCTGGAGTCAATTCGGGAATCTCAAACCACACAGCCCTGGGGCTTCAGCTCATATGAAAACACTTCATCAGCCCTGGGCACCATGGTCACACCTGCCTCAACTGGGGTTCCTAGTCCTGTTTTGCTACTTTGGAGTTGTCCCATTAGGTCCCAGAACCAGATCCAGTCTTCCCCACACAGCCTTGCCTGTCAGCGACCCTGACAGGAACTAGGTGACTTGTGTTCCCCACTTAGGTTTGGAAAAGCAAAGGTTTGGGAGGCAGCCACAATAGTTTGGACATGCTGAATTTGAGGGTTCTTTGGGACGCCTCAATTAACATGGGGTCTGAATCCTAGGTATGAGTGTGGGGATGGGAATGAGGGTTTTAAATTAGCTAAAATTAGTCAGGGGTGGAAACCAAGAATGATGATGAGGCCTGAGAGTTCCCACATGCTACACAAACTGTGTGCCTAGGATGTCCGTGAGCAGGGTAGCCACAGGAAGATGTGTGACTGGGATGGGAAGAGAGAAGATGAGGAACAAGGGCAGAGGGAAGAGTCAAAAGCAGCCGGTACATTCAAGAAGAAGGCTTGAGGAGATGGGGAGACAGATTTTGCCGATGCAGAGGTGGTGCATTTAAGGAAGGAAAACCCATATGGGCCTTGCTGGGAGGAATTGGCTTTAGGTGGGGCTGAAAACGTGGCTCTGGTCACCAAGAGGATTCTGGCATACCCAAAAGGAGGGGCCTCTGGAAGGACAATGATGGGAGTCAGAGGAATCATTTGGGGAAGGGACAGTGTGAGGGAAGAGGAAGGGCCGAGGACCGATGTATCTTTTTCAAGTTGGAGAACTGATGTTCCTAGAGAATCAGTCTGGTTTGGAAGGGAAGGATGGGGATGCTGTTAAACAGGACCAGTTGAGAACCTTCACCAGGCAGAGAAAGACCCATCTGTCATAAGTAAATTGGGACACACACAGCTTTATCAGGGCTGAGTGGTGAGCCCTTAGGAGAAGGCAAGTTTGCACCAAATAACCTCCTAGGGTTCCAAAGGAAACAGGATCCTAAGGTCCCCCACCTGGCTGCAGAGTATCTGAGAAAGCCAGAAAGGGCAGCTGTAAAGCCATTGCTGTCTTGTTACCACTCAGTTCCACAGGACAACAATCCGCTACAATTCCTACTTGCCGTGGGTTTGGAAGAGGACAATACTAGCTGGAGCACCGATGTCATCATGCGTGGGAACAGCCTCTCTTCCAGCATGTGAGACTCTGTCACTTTCCATGCATATCCTCAAGCTTTCTCCCTTGAGGCCTCAGAGCTGTGTGTATGTGTGTGTGTGGTGTGTGTGGTATATGTGGTGTGTGTGTGTGTGTGTGGTGTGTAGATGAGGGGCTGTGGCTGTGACCATAGGGCTGAGAGAGTGAACAAGCCCTGTTGCTCAGTGTCCTGTGGCTGTCCTGACACATCAGGTCTCTTGCCTCAGAGCTCTGCACTGAGTGGCCTCCAGGGTCCAGCTTCACAGGCCGGTGTCCACAGGGGGCAGTAAAGTTCCCTACTTCTAAAAAGTCTTTGGAAAACAATAGCCAAAGCTCCTGCCCCCAGGAAGAACAGCCTATCTCCCAGTGGCAAACATCCAGACTATTTGCTTTTGGCAGAGACATCCATCCAATGGAGCCATGAGGCGGTTCCTGTTGCTACCCCAGCTGCTGCTGCTGCAAACAGCTTGGCTTCTCAACTCACCCAGTCCACAGAGATACCCTCCCTGGATGGATGGGACCCGCATACCTACAGCTCCTAGGGGTCCCTGAAGCTGGAGCAGGAAGCAGAAAAGCACCAACCCGAGAGACTGAGGAACCATGATGCCACTGTGGCTTCTCGCTGGGGCTTGTCCAGATGCTGCTGGGAGGGCAAAGGGCATCGGGGAGGGAGAGGGGTGGGGAAAGCTAGAGCATAGGCTGGGAGCTCTGTGAGGCTGGTTGGAGGCTGGCACTCACGTCTCCAGCACTTGTACGTCCCGGGAAAGGTATGGCAGGCAAAGTGGGCTCTAACTAGAGGTGGGAACAGATGTCACCCACAGATGGACGTCCACACCCACAGTGATGACACTATAAAAGACAGAAGGCTGGGTATGGTTCTGTGACCTGGAAAAGACCTGCAGGGGAGACCTGGGCTGTGCAGCCCTTGCTGGCTGTTCTGCCACCTCCTTCCCACACTGGAAGCAGCCCTCAGCAGGTGGTCCATGTCCTATTCCTCCATGTCCTCTGACCCAGGCCCCAAATAGGGCTTTTGGACATGGGACTTTCTGTGTAAAAATTGGGTCCATCCCCAAGAACACAGCATTCATGGTTACACAGCCTCCTGGACCACACTGTGGGTTTGGGGTGGACCTTTTCAGGGACAGGTACAAGACTGATCATTCTTTTGGGAGCCAGACCTCATCTATGAGCACTGACAGTACCCACCTTGTGCTACCACAGTCCACCTCAGGGGCACCTCTGACTCCTGGGGTCCCTTCAGACTCGGCAGTACTGACTCTTCTGGGCTAGAGGTCAAAACTCACCCTGGAAAGCCCAACCCTCTCATCCCAGGGTAACTGTAGGGACATGGGAGGAGGCCACAGCATCCCAGCTGACTTACCTCCCTTTTGCGCTCTAGGCCACGACTACTCAGCTTCCTCTGGCAGAGGACCAACCATCAGAGCATCAGAGGACAGAAGCTGAGCCTGCCTGGTGTTTGGGCCCTCCAGCTGAATTCCTTCAGCAGATGGAGACCTCCATGTGGCATGTGCCTGGGCTGGTTGCTGGGTCTCAGGTGTCAGGGGTTTCCACGTGGACCTGCAGGGGCCTTATCTACTTGGTCTTCCTCTTACACCTCTCCCATGGTTACTGTTAGCACTGTGCCTAGTCCTGACTTATAGTCTGAAGGGGTAGGCATGGGGGCCATTGCCTGTCTCTCTTTTGGACTCTTCCCCTCTTACTCTCTCAGGGAAGACAAACAGGCTTCCCTTGGGATCCTGGAGTCCTCCTCCTCTGTGCATCTCTGTATGCACCCAGGCACCATCTTCCCCTACCTTGGGATAGGAAACACCGAGCCTCATTCCCAGCCATGCTCATCTTTTCTTTGGGCAGCTTCCCAAGGCTCTCCTTTCAACCTGACACATATGAGAGAACAATTAAGTGACGTGGGCTCAGAGTATTCTGGGGGATGCACACACACACACACACACACACACACACACACACACACACACACACAACACTTGCACATGTATTTGTTTACATGTGTACACCATCTTCACACTTACGTACCATCCTTATGCATGCTACACTCACACGCCCACACATACATGACACCTATACAGATACAGGATCCCTCACTCTACGAGGAACCAGGTCCTAAGAACAGAGCTTAAAGATGCTCATGGGTTCTGATGCCTTCGGAAGACTGTAGACCAGTGGTGATGATGTTAATCATTTGAAGTTTAAGAACCAGAGAGCTGAGCTGAATCCTAAAGATTATCACTGCATCACTTTTGTTTTCTCTGGATCTGTGCCTTACTTTCTGAGTTAGTCTTGAGGACTCTATTGATGATAATGGGTGATTGCTCCTGGATTTTCCAGTTATGGGCAGCTATTTCCAATCCACATGACTCCTGTCCTTTTCCTTTGTGTTATTCCCTATTGTTCTAGTAAATGATGGTAACAGTGAGGCATCCCCACGTTTGTCCTCTGTGCCGCAAAGGCCATTGGTCACCCCTCTCTTCTACTCCTGCTTGGATGAGGATTCTTAAAAGCATCTAGAAACTTGAAGATTTTGCTTTGAAGGTTGACAGACATGCCTTACCAAGTTAAAAACTTTTTTTTTTAAAAAAACTCCTGGTGTGATGACCATGGTAAGTAAATAACCAATAAAAATTTTGTACATCTATGAAACTGCTGACTTACATGATTGGGTTTAATGTGGTAAATTACAGCAGTATTTTTCTGATATTGCACCATGCTTCATGACATGAACAAATTTACTTGATTAGAATGTGTGGTTTTTTTTTTTCTTAACATAGGTCATTGTTCTTGGTTGCCTGCCATAACTAGCTGATTGCTGAAATACACCATACTTTGGCGCATATAGAAAGATTAAGCTGGAACTGACCTGGAAACTTCCTTCCTGATGGCTAGTTTTCATAGTTCTGAAAGTACCCACTGGGGGAAATAGTCATCAGCTGTTGCACACACCAGTGAACCCTGCATGCTAGAACAGTGACCTTCCAGGTAAATGAGCCCATGAATGAAATAGTGACAGGACTGTTACAGAGGTAACCAACTCTTCTCTGATTTGGGCTTGAGGCTGGCTCCACTTAAGGGAATTCATGTCTGGTACTATAAATCTAGCCAAAAAATAAAACAAACAAAACAAAAAAAACCCTGTTTTTGGAGGTTATTGGCCCCATGAGATGTGTGTGTGTGTGTGTGTGTGTGTGTGTGTGTGTGTGTGTGTATGTGTGTGTGTGTGTGTGTGTGTGTGTGATGTTTTGTTAAACAGACATGTTGTCATACTATCTCCTAAATAGCCTCTTAGTTTTTCTATAAATTATAGTTTTTCAATAATCAAGGTTTTGATTTTTATTTTCTTCCCTTGAGGCAGTAATTTCTTCTTTATGAGTTTGGCTGATTACATTTGTTGTCTTATTCAAGTGAGTAACTCAATAATTTTGTCTTGTTAGATGAAGTGTAGTACAATCCCAGTCACACTTCAGCTGCACCCCCCATGTGCGGATAGTAGCTATCTGTTCAGCTCTAGGGAGCAGAGTTCCATTGTCATTAGAATAATGGCCACAGACTTCAAAAACACCCATTACAAACTGCCCATTTCATTGTTTTGTGTATGGTGTGTGTGTGTGTGTGTGCTGGGAATGGTACCATCTTCTGTTTGATAGATAGGAATCAGTGTTTATGACAGTAATATCTGAGTGCCAAGGCTTGCTCTCTGCATTTTTGACATTATTATTGGCTTACAAGTTTGCAATCACCTCCTAGTTCCTTATACTCTAACTGCCCTAAATTTATTTTTTGTTACTAGCATTACTATGTCAGATTTCTTTTGTGTTTACTTGGGCTAATCATTGCTTTCTCCTTCAGCAGTGAATCTGCCTGGCCTAGTTGGTGCCGCCTTAGGACAATAGTCACACTGTGAGCCAGCCATGTCTGGATCCATCTCTTCATTATGTGCTTGTGTTTTCTGATCACCATTCTTTTCCCCATTTATCTACCCTCCATTCCTCACAGATCAATAAACTTCCTTCATTGTCTAACGTTTCAGCGAGGAGTCGTTGAGTGTGTTATTTTTACTGTGTAATGTCTACTGCACGTCTCTGGTCTCCTTCACATTTTTTCACAAGCATATCCTGGCACTATTTTCACATCACCACTGTCTGATAAAGTAAAACACATCATTATAATATGCTTGGTGCCTGCACCCTCTACATCCCACCTGCCTCATTCTCAGCCTTGTCATACTGGGCATTGATGACCATCACTAAGTACATCATAGTGCTGGGAGCCCAGCGCCTTTACCAATATGATGGACAGTGAGAATTGCTGGCCTTCATCTAATCTTCATGCATACAATAAAGACTTCTGACTTTAAATGTTCATCTATATCAGCAGTAGAAAGTAAAAGCATCCATGACTGAAGTGTGACATTTCTTTCTTTCTTTTTTTTTTTTTTTTTTTTTTTTTTTTTTTTTTTTTTTTTTTTTTTTTTTGAGATAGGGTCTCACTGTGTATGTAGCTCTGACTAGCCTGGAACTCTCTATGCAGACCAGGATGGCCTCAAACTCACAGGGACCTGCCTGCAACACTGCCTCTGCAGTGTTGCCATTAGAGGCACATATCACCACGCCTGGCAAGATGTGACATTTTAAGGTGTCTTTACAAGGATGAGATCATAAAAGAGGGTGGCGTTGAAAAGGCTGGGCAGACTATATTCCATGCCTCTTCCCACATAACATACACACCAGAAATGCCACAGAATTTTTGCAGTTTTTATTTTATTACCATTCTCTGAAGGTGTGGCCAGTAATGGCTCTGCAAGCCATAGGGCCGGGTAGGAGGGCATTTTACCTGGACATACAGTGGTGAGCGAGCCTCGGTGGCCTCCCATGGCAGCAGGGTGAGGAGACAGGGAGGGACCGTAAAGTGACAAATATTCAGCAGCATGAGAGCATAAATACATCCTTTACACCCAGACCATATGTACACACGTGAACATATATACATACATACATACATATAAAAATATTGCCCTACTAGGCACAGAACGTTTCCAAAGAACAGAATTTGTTTCTCAGACACACACAAAAAGGCAGGGAACAACAGTTCTCGTGGCAGTTCTGCCATCACTGGCCCCTCATGAGCTAGGGGAGGGGAGGTGGGGCCTGCCCTGACGTGGACAGACAGCCGGTGCCTGTGTTGCTGGGGATGGCTGACAGCATGGATTTTTACATTTTCTTTAAAAATAATAAAAAATATCCTAATTTAATGATATTCTTTTAAAAAAACGGAGAGTCTCCTTTTTATTGTAGAAAAGAAGGTTAATATTTTAAATTATACTTTACATTTCTCGTGGAAACAAAACCTATGCGGATGTGAGACTCTCGGTGATTTCTGACTGCTTCTGGTGGAGGAGACGCCCCTGACTTACCAGCTCTTCCTTCACCTGGGATGGATGTGTTCCAGGAAGTGCCAGGTCTCAGTGAGAGTGCCCCCAAAACCATTTAGTTGTATAAACAACGTGCTTCGATGTAAACCCCAGTAACAAAAAATAGTTTTATATCAAATACAGTATCAAATTGTCATTTCATGTAAACACAGTGATTCTTGGTAAAGATTTGAGGCCAGAGTACCACAAAAATGGCCATGGGATTAATCCCTGTTTAAAAAAAATCAAAAACTTATAAAAGACAAGAGTCCCTTGATCCCCTCCTGGGCTGTTGGTAGAAAACTGTCCACTCCTGTTAGAAGTGCCTTCCTCAGGATGATGGTCCCACAGAAAGCACCAGAGAGGTCAGGACACCTTGGAGAGGCTGCACAGCAGGGTCTGTTGGCTGCCCAAGTATGAGAAAGGGCATCTCCCACCTTTCTGCACAGGGTCTCCTGACCCATAGCCCCTCCTCTGTCCACTCTGGAGTTTTTAAAGTAGCTTTGGTGGTGGACTGTTGTCTCCTGGATTCTGCACATGCAGTGCAGTCCTGGTGCCAAGGCCCCAGTGTCCTCTGAAGCCCATGGTGGATAGGGTCCTCCTGTTTCCAGATGTCTTGGAGCACCATCCCCTCCCACACTAAGCAAGCCCAAGCAAAAGAAAACTTAGAGATTTGCATGCTGGTCTACTGCACGGTGGCCTCGAGTGCCTGCCACAGAGGCCTGGCCACTATCCCTGGAGCTCGGAGAAGGGAGTGGGGTAGCCCTCGCTGCAGCTGGAGGAGTTGCTCAGCACGGCTGACCCTGGACTGGAGTCTGCGGGAAACCAGTGGAGACAGACTTCGGCTCTGGCCCTTTCCTCTGCACACCTAGAAACCTCTCTGTTTTTAAACAGGCTCTGGGCTGAGGATCTTGGCAGGCTCAGGGCACAGCTGGCGTGCACAGTGGGTCTTACCTGAGCTGCTCAGACACTGAGCTGAGCTGGATTTGCCCAGGAGGGTGGACAGACTGCTGGCTGGCACCCATCCCTCCTTGCTGCTGGTCAGGTCTCGGACATACCTGAGAAGGGAATTCAGTGGCTATAATGTGTCCCATGCCCACAGTCTGTGGTTGGGTGCCTCTGAGGTGGGCACATGTGTACATCTGAGGTGGGATCACACAGGGTCATGTCTGAGTTGGGATCACACATGATCATGTCTGAGGTGGGATCACCCATGGTCATGTCTGAGGTAGAATCACACGAGTCTTGTATATCTGAGGTGGAATCATACAAGGGCATGTCTGAGGTGGGATGACCCATGGTCATGTCTGAGGTGGGAATCACACAGGGGCATGTCTGATATGGAATCACACATGGTCATTCTGAGGTAGGATCACCCACGGTCACCACACATTGTCTTTTCTGAGGTGGGATCACCCATGGTCATGTCTGAGGTGGGATTAAATAGGTCATGTTTGTAATCCCATTTGAGGTAAAATCACACATGTCATGCATATCTGAGGTGGGATCACACACGTGCATGTCTGAGGTACTATCACATGGGTCATGTATGTCCTAGGTAGGATCACACAGGGGCATGTGGGAGGAAGGAGAGCTTACTACCACCTTACCAGAGCCCCTCGGCGCCCTCTTCCACGACTTCCACCATATCTCCACTTCTCATGGCAAGGGTATCAGGGCCCTCCTTCTCATCATCCATCACCACTGTGTATTTACCTGGAACCTGAGGATGACAAGGGGGCAAAGCTAGGTTTCAGCTTGTCAGCACTTTCTGTCTCTCAGTGTGAGCAGGTCAACAACACATCTATCTACCCTCTACCTCCTGTGTTGTGCCAGCTGCACAGCAGCAGCGGGGCCTGCATCAGAGCAGGTTTCCAAGTGCCAGCAAGGGGGATGGAACAACTCATACTGTGACCATGTTAAGGATAAAAATGGATGTGGCAATGTGCTCACAACACTACATGTCTTTATGGGCTCCTGAGCACCTTGCTAACTTCCAAGCCAGCATGGATATAGCTTTAGGAAAGCTCAGTTAGAACACTCTACCAATGTGAGGTGTGAACCATGCTCGAGCTCCAGACAGGTGGGCACACAGCTCCATGGGATTATGGGTAGTGGATCGTGATCCAAGTGAGCATTGTGTATCTGTGGCTGGAGAATGGTAGCTGCAAAGGACCCAGGCCAAGTTGGATTTTCTAGAATATTTCCTCTTCACGAGACACAGGGCCCACCCTGAGGCACCCACAGGGAGGTCAATGTTACCAGCTTCTTGGGGCCCACTCCACCATCTTCCTCTGCATCAGATGAATTGACGAGCTCCTCAGCACTGGACCAGCCTCCATCTTCCTCAGGGGCTTCCAGTGAGTGGGATGTTTTGCTCCAGCCTAGGAGAAACAGCTTCCTGTGAGGTCCACACCCATGATGCAATCACCATTACCCACGTGTGTTCTTTATGAGGTCCACAGGCCCCTGGAATGGATAGCTGTGGGACTCTGAACATGGCCCTGTCATCTTCCTAGGTTCACCAAACTGTGCTGCATGTGACAGCTCTCTGTCTTTGTTGGAGTCACCCGCTTAGACTCCCCACTGGTTCCTTCTATACTATAATAAAATGTTGGGTACAGTCTGTGGTGACACACAGTACAGGGAGATGGTGTGTGAGTTTGTCTGCCTCCATCTGCTGGGCCACTCTAAGGGTGTAAAATGAGGTCTGAAACCTTCTTCAGGTCCCCAGCCCTATCAAACCCACCTACTTGGACTCTATAGAAGATCCTGTGAAGAGAAGGGGGCTTCAGCTAAAACTTCGATGGCTAACACCTACTTTGCTGCCAGGAAAACAATTTCCAACTAGAATGACCAAATAAATCCCTGACCTGTGAGATGCACACAGTTGTGGTTCTCACTGGACAGGTTAACAACCAGGAGAATGTCAAGGCTGTGTGTGGGTATCCTAGCAACCCAGGTCCTGCCACCAGCAAATCCACTGGATTGGCCAATGGGTCCCCATATTTCCTACTGCTTCATTCCTGTTTCTCTTGCTATATGCTCTGATGGGTAGCACCGATATTTCCCTTTTTGGAGATATGGAAATGATAAATTCCTATTGTGTAAATTCCTCAGACAGTAATAGGGTGAGGTGACTACCTGTCCTTCCTGGTACTAAATACAGTCACTGCATGAAACTGGAGGACACATCAACACACAATGAAGCATAGTAAGGAAAGCCAGCCTGATTGTTGGATCTGAGTCTACATTTACCTGCTGTCCTATTGTACTAGGTTCTGGTGCAGTGTGGGGGTGTGACGGAATTACAGAAGAGCCCCCATGAAATCAGGGCAACAAAGAGGTCTTGTAGCTCTGAGCCACCTCCATGGCTGAGCATGCCCAGCGCCAGTGATGAAAATCCTCTGTTAAGGAACATTGGGAAGGCACTTCTGTCTTCCTAGAAAACAGACAGGACTAGACATTCCTGAGATACCAACTGTTCAGGCTTAGGCAGGACAAGCTAGAGCACCTCTGATCTGCCTCCCTGAGGCCACACATAGGGCCTGGGGACAGCTGTGTACTTGGTTCTGGGAAGTGTTATACAAGGCTTGTATATGTGTAAGAACTGGGCTCTAGGGGTTTCCAGCTACAACCATCTATCCCTCTTGCTCCAAGCACATGTGCAGGCAGCCTGATTGTTCCTTCTTCCCCACTGACCATCATGTTGCTGCAAAGCTCACATGGGGGCCTCTATCTAAACAGAAGCAAAGTCTAAGGACAGTTGGAGCAGATGAACACTCCCAAGAACAAAACCTTCCAGCATCAGAGACCATACAGTTGTCCACAAGCTACACAGAAATCTTCACCTTCCTTAGTGTATCTATGAGAGACTTCCAGCACCCTTTGGCAACTAACATATCTCACAAGTGTCTATTGACCCAGAATAGCATCAGATCATGTTGCTGTCTATAGCTGTTAGACACTCTATTAACAAGAAGACCAACATGCTGCCCTAACAGTGTCCAGGTATCAGATGTGAGACAAGGACACAAAAGGATTTAGAAGCATGATGATCTCAAATTAGGTGCCATCATTGTCTTTGGGGATTCTGGGAGAATGCATGAGAATGTTAGCCAATTGCCTTGTACAACTCTCTCTCTCTCTCTCTCTCTCTCTCTCTCTCTCTCTCTCTCTCTCTCTGTCTTTCTCTCTCGCAGGTGTGGGCTGCATCTGCACTACAGAAGGTAGAAAGAATGGGAATGACTGGGCCTCACACGCCACCTGGTCATCCTCTCTTCAACCTAGAAGGCTGCATTGATGCCACTCAGACTCAAGGGAAGGGACACTGGCAGAAACAAGCCACTAAGCTGGAACAAGGTAGGAACAGCATTTGGCACAGCCACAGCTGTGTCTGTTGTCTCCAAACACCATGTCTCATGGGGGGAATATCTCAGGGTCTTGGGTAACACATGCAAAGTGCTGAGTGGATAAAAGCAGACCTTCACAGAAATCTCAAGATGGCGAGTGGCTCCTGAGCAATGGGAGTGCAGCATCAGAGTGTTGGGCACCTACCCATTCATGAACTTAGGCAGCCGCTGACCTCTGAGGGTTGCAGCTGGGTAATCAGGGCTTGGAGCATGGTTTGTGGGAGGAGTAGAATGAGCTGGCCAATATGGTGAAGGTGGAGATCTTTGGGACAAGGGAGGACTTGGGTTTTCCAGGGAGAAAGAAACAGGGACCCAAGGCCGAGAGTGGAGCTGCCTGGTGCAAAGGCCTGGTTATGCCTGTTTCCACCCAGAATGGAAGGGCCAGCTGGTGACGCCGGGGAGGGTGCTGGTACCATGGCTCTTTGAACAGGGCACTTTCGGGCTATACCAGTACTGAGAGATAGATCTCAGTGTAAATACTGGTCAGCCAAGCTGTGCCCGAGCCTCTCTGCTTGCCAATGATGGGTCAAGGCAACAGTAGGAATGTGGCATCTTCTAGCATCTGTCACCAGGTATCAAGCTGTGAACCACCAGTTATTGCTTCTGGCTTGCCTGATCTATTTGCTTTCACCTAGGTACCCTGCACAGCCACAGACAGCATGCCTGACTGGGGTTCAGGGGCTGCAGCGCTACCTCGCAAACCAAAGGGAGTCGGGTCGCTCTTTACTTCATGCCGCTTAGCTTTTTTGTCAGGACTGGTCGGAGAGGCTGCAGGAAGAGGAAGAGGCAAAAATACAATAGTAGAGAGAAAGTGGAGAAAGTGTCAAGTGAGAGGAGGAGGCAGGTGAGGTGTTTTGAGATGAAATGGCTGAGGGAGGTAGGGAGGCCCGGAGAGCGGAGGTGGCGGAAGGTGGCCTTAGCCGTCAGTCATCGTCTTAGGGGCTGCCCTCAGCTCTGCTTACGAAAGAATACAGGAACAGAACAAGCATTTCTTTCATTCAAATTTGAAGCCAACTAAGAATCATAAATTGGGAAACGCTCTAATTCCCATGCCGGTCATTTGGGAGAGCTGGAGGATTGGAAGGGAGCATTGTGCACAACCAAGGTATGCTAGGGCTGTCCTGAGCTTTGACCACCAAGGAGCATCCCCAGGTAACAAAGCTATTTCAGTTCTCAGTTCAGAGGCTTCTTCCCCCCTCCCCCGTTACTGTTCACTAGCAAACACCCTAGAAGACACATGGGCATGGCACTCAGCAGTCAAGAGTCACGGCAGCAAGAAAGGCAGAGGCCTGCAAAGCCAATGGGAAAATTCAAGGTGGGGTGGGGAGCGGGGGGGAGTGGGAGAAGGGGTCAGGTGGGCTAAGTAGTTAACAGCTCCAGTTTTTAGCAGGCTGTACTTGAAAGGCTGACTCTCTCTGTATCCAAAAGGCACCCCTAAAAGATAACGTCGGGCATCTGTGTCTACACGGTGTCAGTTGGCAAGAATGATATGGTGGGAAAGGTGCTTGTGTGGCTGTGTGTGGCGCCAGAGGCGGCCACACGGAGATGGCGTGGAAGGCAGTGGGGGGTACTGCCTCTTTACCTTTCTGACCTTTGAGGTTAGCCAAGCCCTGCAGCGTGAAGCGCTTTCTGGAAAGCGCAGAGCTTTCAGAGGTAGAGCTAGGGACCGCATCGTCTAGGAGGGAGGAGAGACAGAATGCAGAGACAGCATCTGGGAGGGGAGGGAGGATGACAGGATGCAAAGGGTACCAGCCACGGACCTACGCTCAGGAGTCGGTGGGCATAGAGAAGTTGCACATTTTAGGGTGTCCCAGATGGAGGTACACAGTGACTATGAATGAGGGGTCTGTTGTGAGGCCAGTGTGCTGGAGCGACCCTGAGCTCTCCCATGCTGGCTGATGGACATTCCACGCGCAAGGCCTGGATGGGCCACACTGCAGTTGACACTCACCTTTGCCCTTCTCAGGGGGCTTTGGCAACGACGAGCTCACATATCCTTCCAGGCTCAGTGGGTCTGTCTTCCTGTCTTCCAGCTTCTTGACATTTCTTGTGTTTCCTTTTGTGGGACTGAGGACATCAGTGACCAATGAAGAAACAGTGTGTCAGTTAAGTTCTCAGGAAGGTCTAAGGACTATTGGTACTGAAACATCTTAGCTCCTAGACTGTCCTCCAGGCACCATCCCTCATTCAAAGTTGGTGATCAACTGCCACCAGGCTGTGTACCCTTGGCATGCTGACTACCATCAGAAGTGATCCACAAACAGAAAGTTGTGAAGCAGGGGGTTTGCTGAGGAAGGTAGAGTTAGAGACACCTTCAGGCCTGATGTTCAGGCATAAGCCACTGACACATAATCCCCAGATGACACTGGAGGGTCTTGTGCAGACTCATCTCAGTGACACAGTAAACCCTGTGGCAGTAAGCCCTATTTTTCCTCATGTCTTGGGACAGCTTCACTATGTTGCTTTAATAGGTCCTTTCACCTCAGTGTCCATCTGCTTTCTAGGCTTCTGTTAACACACTGCCATGCTCACCTGGTGCTGGATAGCGTGGGCAGAGGAAGGCTGTGTGACTGTTCCAGGGCTCTGTGTTGACTGGCTTCTGTGGGAGGGCAAATGGCCGCGCATCACTTATCAGTGGGCACTGAACACCTTTGTGTTCATGGGCTAAAGGCTCTTGGACAGTTGACAATGGCACACGGGGAAAACAGACAAAAGCCAAAGGGAGCCTCACCTCGGCAGGCCTGAAGCTGGCTGGTCAGAACCTTCCGAATTTCATTCACCCATGCTGCTTTGATCTCAGGAGTTGGGGCCTGTTCCAAAAGAGAGGAGGGAATTGGTGCAGGTTCCAATAGACACCCTGTGTGTTACAGGCAGAAGGAGCATGTGGTGGGAATGTCTCATTGTGGATCTTTTAACCCTGTAGCACAGAACTGGCTGCAAAAGGCTGTGGGTGTATGCAGGTGCCCAGGGCATGGCAAAGACAGCCAATTACTAGCAGGAAGTCCAACTCTCCTGGTGATGTTGACGTGCTGGGCTAATTGCAGATGTGGCCTGACCTGCAGAACAGATCTTCCGGGAGCACCCTCTTTTTGAACTTGATTCAGCTGTGAGGTTTTTTCAGCTGGGTATAAAACTAGAAGGCACACTGGGGCTGCAATGCTATCATGGCCACTGTGTGCTGGCAGTTGCCACCTCATCTTCTGTGACCCTGAGGGCAAGTAAAAAGCCCAGCCAGGTTGGGCTAGGACCTTCATGGGGTACTTATGTTCTTGCCTGGGCCTCATGGAGAGGATGTTGTCCCTTGAGTCTATTTTGTAGCTCTTCCCTCTCTTCCACTGGCCAATAAGGACAGGTATACCATACATTCCACCAGAGAGCCAGGCTGTGTGGGTAAAGCTCTCTAGAGGCATCATGAGACATGGGAAGAAGGGCTATTTCTAGTAGTTCCTGTCTATTACCCTAGATGCACTTGTTCCCAAATTCCATCCTGGGCCAAGCACATCCTGTGGCCCTGGGAAGTGACCTAACATGACAGCTCCTGCATCTGGGGGATGAACCTCATGAAGACTGTTGACCTGGTTCTCATTGGCAGTCTCTCATTGACCACCCTGAAGAGACTCAAGGGCTCCCTCAGTTCTTGGCTTTCAGGGCAAGTGAGTGGCCCTACCTGGATAATGTAAACCTCCTCTCTTGCATTGTACCAGATCTCAAACTTCTTGGCGTCACCCTTCACATTCTCTGTGATGCCGACTGCTGTCATCTGATGGCATAGGAACAGAGACAGATATCAGTATGCATGGTGGAGTCATGTGTCCTGTTCAGTGATGATGGAAACTGAGGGGAGAAGAGGGGTGGGGTCAGGGCTAAGGGTTGTGGGAGCCCCAGAGCTCCCATGGGTTGGAGTTGGGTGTCTGATAAGCCTTCATGTTAGATTGAGGCTTGTTTGGTAACTGTGTTCTTTCCCTCACATTGCTGGTTGAGTCACTCACATTCAAGGACTGCTTGTAGCTGTAGGAAGGGGCCTTCTCATACCCCTCCCCATTTTCTTCCCTCTTCTTGCAGAAGAGGACTGCCTTCTCGTGCAGAAACAGGTGCCGCTGCATGGGCTTGAACCTGGCCAGCTCCTTCACCTTGGTGTGGCCCTTCTTGTGGTCTGTCCACACACTGAAGGAGCCTTGCATCAGCAGCTTCCCCAGGTCACTGAGGTTCCCCTGGAACACAGGACACATGCGGGGGGCATGCAAGACCGGTGAACTTGGGAGGGCTGGGGCTCTAGTGCATACTGGAAAGACTACATGCTGTAGAGTTTTCTTCTTGTAGAACATTCTAGAAGGGGCAAATCTCCAAGGTAGTAAAAGGCCAGCAGGCTACAGGGCTTGGAGGAAAGAGGAGGCATAGCATGGAGGAGTCGTGGTGGAGAAGGGACAGTACCCAGAACCCTAATGTATAGTGGACTTGAGGTAGTGACATATCCCCAGAGGCCTGTCAGCTACAACAGGTGTGTCACACCAACACAAGGGTTTTTGATGGAGGAGGCAGGGGGCAGGGGTGGATGTTTATGAATATGAGCTTCACACTCAATTTTAATAAATCTAAAACGGTTAAAAATAAATAAAATCTAGTTATTTTAAAAACCAGAAAATAAATGCTAAATGGACATTCAGAGAAGCAAAACCCTTCTAGGTTAACCTGAAGTGGGTCTATACGGGGAAATTAACTCTTCTAGGTTGACTTGAAGTGGGTCTATACAGAGAAATTAACTCCAGCCAGCCACTTCGTCATTAGCCACTTCATCCACCTTATCACAGAAAACATGGTGTCCCACCTGGTACCCAGGAAGTAGACAGGAGGAAAGAGTCTTGGGGTGCATCCCTGTTGGAGAGGCCTCACCTTCCTGGGGGAACAGCTGTGGCCTGCTCCACATCTGACAAGCTCCTGACTCAGAACCTGGGGCTGCCCTAGGCCCTAGGCCATGTGTATCCATGTCAAGACTCAGGTCCTGGCTCATGTGTGTTCACTTAAAGACTCAGGACCTGGGCCACATGTGACCACGTCAAGACTGAGGCCCTGGGCCATGTGTGTCCACGTTAAGACTGAGGCCCTGGGCCATGTGTGTCCACTTCAAGACTCAGAGAGCTTGAAGTACTGATAGTATTGCTCCTATCAAATTGCTCCTGAGGCAAGGGCATCCTGTTGTTGGCACCAAGGGTGACACAATGGGGCCTTACATCATAGCCAGTGATGGCGATGAGGTGCATGGAGTCGTTCACCGCCTTGAGGATGCCAAGGATGGAGCTCAGTGCCTCTTGTAGGTCCTCTGCCCCCTCGCAGTTCTTGCTGTATTTTAACATTTCCTGAGGCGGGTACAAGAGAATGCAGTTATACACCGAAATCTCTCCTCTACACCTCCAGGGGCAGCTGACTGTCCCACAGATGCAGACTCCAAATGGGGTCCCAGGAATCCTGGTGTGGTCCCTGGACAGACACCAGCACATCAAGCATAGCGAGACACTTTGTCCCCTGCCCCCAAACCAGGATGGGCAGCTGGGTTCTGCAGAGCAAGAGCTGCCTGCCTGGCAGCTATTCACACTTATCACACTACGTGCACACTTATCACGCTTGCTTCATGCTGTTGCCATGGCCCTGCTAAAGGCACAGTACTACAAACCCTTTCCTGCCCTGCCACATGGAGCAGACTCCCAGACAGAGACTCCTGGTCTCTACTGTGCTAGGGACCAACAGGACGGACAGAGCTCGGCTGGCATCCCCTATCTGGAGAAGCCACAGGCTATCACCACAGGCTCTTGGTATAGCTTGCTATCTCCATGTCCCTGGAACTCGACAATGCCTAACACACAGCAGGCCTACACAAGTGGCTGAATGGATCAGGGTCACAGCAAGGTGGAGGATAAGTGCCTTTGGGTCTGGGGCTAGGGCTTGGTGAAGAAGAGTCTGGGCTAGGCCCTGGGCTCCCGCAGACACCAGGCCAGCAGGCAAGTATGGCTGACCCAGGACAGCTGTCCTGAAGGCTTCACCTTGAGCAGCAGCTGGTATTTGGTTATTCTCTGCACAGGTTTCAGCAGGTAGGAGTCCAGGCTCAGCTTGTGGTCCAGCTTCTTCTGGCACTCCTGCAACCACCAAACACTTGGTCACACAAGGCCACGGCTCTGTCCGAGGCCCCAAGGAAGGAAATACTGGTGTGGGGAATGAACTCAAGACAAACCTGGAAGAAGGGACAGTCGGAGCATTGTCTCCACAGGCTCTCGGACCGTGGCTTGTTCTGACAGTACTTCTCGTAGATCTGGAACTCCTCCATCTACAGCCGGGAGGGACAAAGAAAGCACAGGCTGCTTTTCAGTCACACTGAGCCCCTTTCTGATCTCAGGGAGGAAGCTGCTGTTGCTTCCAGGCTAACTCCCAGACAGGCTTGCTGTTCACCAATATTGGAGCCTCATACCCTAGCCCCCTCACTGCTGACCATTTGTAGCCCAGAGAGGTGGAAAGCGAGCTCTGCCAAGAGGTTGTTTATGGTACAGTTTGTTTATGTACATAAATTCCATGGTATTCTCAGGCAGTTTTGCAAATTATGCAAGTATTTTGTAGAAATACACCTGAGCAGAGCTCAAGAGATTGCCTGATGGTTAAGAGCACTGGCTGTTCTTGCAGGGACATAGGTTCAGTTTCCAGCATCCATCCGCATGGCAGCTCACAATTGTCTGTAACTCCAGTTAAAGAGAATCCAGTACTCTCCTCTGGCTCCTGTAGACAACACACACACACACACACACACACACACACACACACACACACACACACACACACACTATGTGAAATGAAATTTTCCCTGGGTACCTCAGGGGATGTAGAAGGAGATAGGATGCAGCTAGGTCTAGAATAGAGTCCTGGGGGGGGTTGCAGATGATTTGGGGGTACAGAGGGCTCTGGGTCTTTAATGGATATAGGGTACATATAGGGATAGATCATAGAAGTTCCTGGGATACTTGGATCTGAATACAGGGGATTCTGGGATAAAGTCTGGGGATACACATGGTTTGGAAATCAGACAGTGTTAGGCATATGGTGTGGGGCACAAATGCTTCTGAGGCATGGAATGGGTTGGGAGTATAACCTCCATGATTTATGGGCACAGAGGACTCTAAGGCAAGTGCTTGTGAAGCTTACCCTTCACATCCTAGCCTGGCGTGCTTCAGCAGGATGGGGAGGCTGAACTCCTGCATTCTCCACGCCTGGATTCCCTGCTCTGCCTTTGACTCTGGAGTCTTCCTGGCCTTTGATTTCTAATGCCAACCCCAACCTGTCTGACCCCTAACAGCTCTGAGCTGGGATCAAGAGATGCTGAAGTCCAGCATCCATGGGTAGGGACATGGGCAGGGCAGCCTCAGCTGCTTGCTGCCAGGGGTCTTGTACCTCAGTCTCCCTGATGACACAGCTGCTGAAGGTCAGAGACTATGGGCACTTTGTGAGTGTGGAGCTCTGACAGTCCTAAAGATCTGCGCCTCCCTGCCTCCAGGTTCCCACCCTCACTGTCTGACAGCTGGGCAACAGCTCCCACCAGAAAGTCACTTCCTAGGGCTGTGCCTGTCCTAATTCCCCTCTCATTATCTCAAAATAAGTTCAACACAATTGGCTTCTCACCAGAGTAAGGAGCTGTTCAGAACATGGACCCACACAGACTCTTACTCTGTAGGAGGAATTTCAGAGCTTGACACAACCACCATGCTACAGACTTGAGGAGCATCTTATGGGTCATTTTGTAAGAGCATCCCTGAGCTCAGTGTAAAACAAAATTACCCCAGGTATCTATCTCAAGAGGACTCGGATGGCTTTTGAGTATGGATGACTGTAGAACAGAGTGCTCTGGGTACAGGGCAGACATTGCATGGGGGATTCTGATGCTGATGGTTAGGGATCAGTGGCCTACAGAGTGATGATCACCTCAAGTTTGGGGACTCTGGAGACACATTAATGGCCAGGCTGAGCCTGCTTCCCATCTACGTTGAGACAGGGTCTCACTATGTAGCCTTTGCTGGTCTTGAACTCATGGAGATCTACTTGCACCTTTGTCTAAGTTGATAGTGCTAAAGGCATGAAGGTGTTCACCACCATGCCTGGCCCTTGGCAGTGACTCGCTAGAGCTTCAGGTTAGTGTGGGAATGGAACCTGGGACCTGGTGTGTGCTGTGTGAGTGTTCCACCACTGAGTGGTAGCCCGGCCTCCTCTAGCTCTTTATTTCATGACCTTGCTTTGTTTTCTCTTGCCAGTGACCTCCCTTCTGTACAAAGTGAATCTCACAGGTCACAGGGCTCAGTGTGACAATATCCCATGGCTGAGAAGTTATGCACGCATTCCATTCTTTCTGCTCTAGGGTGTACTTGACTGGGACTTTATGCTCAGATTTCCACACACCACTCTTTTTAAACTCATCTCCACTGTCCTATGAGGGAAGCCCCTATGGTTCTCAAGAGGAGAAAACGGACATAGTGAGAGTCCCCTGCCTTCTCCAGTGTTGTTCATCTAGCAAGGCTTAGACAAAAATAAACCAACACACAAAGGAAGTTCAGCAGCACCAGGCCTCAGGAACTGATTTCTGCATCCCCAAACATTGAGCTATATGGTTTTTCTCTTTTTCTGGAATAGTTGTTAGCCTGTGGTGGGATTGCAGTGGCATCAGTGGTGAGCAGCTTTGATGAGGCCCTCAAGGTGCTACGCATGGTCAGTAACATGGAGGCACCAAGGCCTCCCCCCCATTTAAAGATGTGAATGCAGGGCCCCTCAGAGGTTAGAGATGTGCACTGCCTGGGAGGCATGAGTTAGAGATACGTACCCTCTCCAGAAAACACCTCCCCACCAGCTCTGGGCAGTCTATGCAGCTCTCCAGCTCCCGCAGGAATATCCTGCATGGAGAGATTGCCAATGAGGCGGTGAACACAGCAGAATCAGATGACACTGTCTTCCAAAGACCCTGAACAACCTCATCACAGTGTGGCAGCGACTGTCCACCTGGCCTGGGAGCCTGCAGCTCCACCCCTGGCTCCTGAGTACCGACAGCACAGGCTGCCTCCCTTTATTTCTGACCTTGTAGTTCATACTAAAGTTGGAGCTACCCTTCTGGGGAGAGAGGTGAGAAGAAGGGCGAGACAGGGACTGAACATGCCAAGGCTCTAGAGGCCCTACACACTGGCCATGAGCTTGTGGGTTTTCTGGGACCCACTAAATCCCCACTGTGTTTCCTGTCTAAACACGGACTTGCACCTGTCCTCTGGGGAAATCCCAGGAGAGGAAGGCTGCATGGGATCCACTGAAGTTTGAAGTCACTGGGGCCAAGTCAAGGACCCACCTTGGTGGATGCTAAAGGGAGGGTTTTAGATGTCCCAGCTGCAGGAGGATGGGGTGGACAGCTGCGTCTTTTATAAGTCTGGAAATCCTTCTAAAGGATGTCACCGTTGGAGGTCCCAAGTATTAAAGAGAACACATCAGGGCTAAACTGCTTCCCAGCAGCACCACTGACCTCCCAGTAGGCAGCTTGCCAATCACCCAGCCTCCTTAGGCACAACCCAGCAGGATAAGGGGTCCCAAAGGTGGTCAGAGAATGCATCATAGGCACCTACGACATGTGCCTGTGACTCTGTGTGGGTTCTCCCTGGAGAGATTTGCTCCCAGTCAAGTACATCCCAGGGGCTATGGGTCTCTGCTTCCCGCAGGCAGCCATGTGCATGTATGTCCAGATGGAGGGCTCACCTGTTATGGAAGTGATAGATTTCCTCCATGTTTCCGAACAGAATGTTCTTCTTGTTTTGCAGGCCTGTTGAGATGAGGTGTGCCATCAAGGGGTTGTCCATTTCCGCGGCATAGCCCTGCATGGGAACGGGAGGCAGTTAACCAGAAGAGATCCCATCTTCCTTCCTGCCCTTTCTAGCCAGGTATAACCAACACACGGCAGAGGCCACGCTGCTCTTGTGTGTATCTGATGTGTCTAGCTACTAACTTCCAGGTCACTATTGTGAAGACTCAGGACCCAGGGTTCCCTTCTCAAAGTCCTTGTTCTGGAAACGTTCTCTTTCTTCTTCCTTTGTGTGTGTGTGTGTGTGTGTGTGTGTGTGTGTGTGTGTGGTGGAGATGAGGCAGGGTCTCATCCAATAGCCCAGGCTGGTCTAGATCTCATTATATATCTCAGGCTGGCTCTGAACTCACAGCGAGCATCCTGCCTTAGCTTCTGAGTGCCAGGACTACAGGGTCTGCCATCACACCATACACAGAACTGTGTACACTGTTTCCTATGACACCAATTATTGTCACTGAGGTCGTGTGGGTCATGTGCTTGCTATGTGCATGGGCAGCTCTCTTATGGCTGTGCAGGTCCAGCCACTATTCCTGCTGACGGACATTTGGGTGGTTTCTGGTTTGGGCCAGATACAAACATTTTCATGCACTTTGTTGTGGGCGTAAGTCCTCATTTGTAAGTAGCATTAAAAAGAAAAATCCTATATGTATATGTATATTGGTGTGTGTGTGTGTGTGTGTGTGTGTGTGTGTGTGTGTGTGTGTGTGTGTAGTTAGTGGTTGTGCTGGAAATGAAACCAAGGACAAGGACCTCAACATGCTAGGCAACCACTCTTTTCACTTTTTATTTTGAGATGGAGTCTTCAAACTGGCCTTGAACTCTCTCTGTTGCTCAGATGGACCTTGAACCTATGATCCTCCTGTCTTGGTCTCCAGAGTAGAAATATCAGTCTGTGTCAACAGGACTAACTGTAGCAACACCTGGCCCCATGCCCAGTCTTACCTCTAAGACACAGAGCAGTTCCTCTACATAGGCCCGCTCTGTGTCCAGGAGCTCATTCATCACATGTCTGTGGATGGGGACATGGAAGAGCAAAGACGTTAGTGTGGGACAGTCCTCTGGAATCACTGAGTCCCTAGACTTATCTGTGAAGGAAGAAATCATGATATCGAGGACTTGCCCAGTATGGGAGCTGAAGAAGGTGGCTCCCTGGCCTTCCATTGATAATGGTTTCCTGCTTCCCCTGTCTTCTGGGACAGATTTCTCTACCCACCTTCTGGCCTTCTGTACAAAATCAATGCCACCTCACACACACTGGTGAGTCAAGACACCCCCTGCTTCTGTCACAAGCCACTGGAGTCTCTCCAAGACATCCTTACCAAGAAGGTCCCCCAACTCCCACCCAAGAGCCTCTGAAGAGGCGTGGCTGTTCAAGTGCAGTACCAGCTCCTATCCTGCACGTGATGGCTACACGGTGACCATCTGCAGCCTTGCAATGTGCCTATCATTTGTGGAGCTCCAGGAAGAGATGAGGACTGGGCTTACAAAGCATCCAGCCATTCACAGCTTTCAGTGATGAGGACCACCTGATAATAGTCTATAGCCAGTCTGCCCATTTCACCCACAAAGGCCACAGCCCATGGGTACTGTCTTGAGTCTTGGCTAACAGCCAAGTAACCAGGCCCTGCGTGTGAGCCTGGGTTAGCAGAGCAAAGAGGCCTGGGCCTGCTTCTTAGCCACAAACTGCCTGGACACAAGGGAGGTCACCTCCGCCTCAGGGCCTCGACCTTCTCTACTATCTACCCTTCTTTGCTTCTTGTTTGTCATCTTTCATTGGAAGTGAAAGAACTCATGCTCCTCTCAGCTGGTATCTTAGTGCCATAATTCACTGTCCTGCATCTCCTCAGAGGGACACTGCTGAGCATGCTGGGGACATCTGAGACAAGTTGCCTGTGTACACCTGTTTGCTCACAAGCGTCTAAGAACCAGTGTTCCACTCCTACTGTATTTAGACCAAATGCAAAGAATGAGGACAGTGTGGGGTTAAATGTTTTCTTCCATCTCCGATGTTGTGACCCTGGCTCCTGGCTAACTCCCCCCACCCCCCGGGTGTTTTGCCTTCTTTGCAATGTTAACATCTTGCGTTCACATTGTCTGGCCTGGATGCTTCTCAGAGACTTCATGAGTGGAGGGACTCAACTGAAGGCAGATGGACAGACAGGTTTCAGTGGGGTATTCTGAGTGAATATCTTGAGTATATCATAGCATTTCACCCATTACTCTGCATGTGTCTTTGTGAGTAGCAGAAGGTAGGCCACACAGGAAAGGTGACAGGTGGCCCCAGTAAGGGTTCAGTTGACCACCAGCCCAGCCCAAACAAATGGGTGTGCCTGTATGGCCCATAGCCCATGTGCTTGTTTTCAGTTGGCATATACACAGTGCTGGCTTCCCCCATGCTGTGTATGCCTAGGTACAAGTGCTGCCTGCCATCTTTGTGTCGCTATCACCCAGACACTCAGCTTGGTCGGAAGCATGGTCACTCACCTGCGCAGGATGGCTAAGCTCTCCTCCTCTTCCCCCGTGGAGCTGGTGCGGCCCTGCCGGGTCTCGCTCATTTCACTCTGAGGAGAGAACAGCATGCTGGGTGTGAGAACAAAAAGTGCTGTTTCAGATGCTGACTGCCCGGCCCCATTTCCCATTTGCAATAGAGTTTGAATAGGGCAAGTAGATGCATGCCCCCAGAGGCCAGGAGACCCAGAGAGACTGACCACATGGATGACAACAAAGGGAGTATGCTGAGATAACATGCTACAGCTAGGAACAACGGACAGGTGATGGTGGCATGAGCCTCACCTTGGCTCTCCTGTAGGGCCCTCGCCGGAGTGCACTGCCCTCAGAGCTGGAGTTCTCGGAGCTTCTCCAGGAGCCTGGTTTAGAAACACGCAGAGAAGGGTGTTAGTTCTGTTGAGAAATGTACACAGAGGAAGAGAGGAAGAGAAGAAAGGATTATAGAAACAAATATAGAAGGAAGGGGTGATCGGCCGGTGAGGGTTGGGGAGCTACCTGAAGGAGCCGTTGACTGGGGCCTCCACAGCCCTGAGGGTGGGAACAGCTCTAGCTAACAGGGAGACAGTGGGCAAGAGGGAGGAAACTCATACTGGCACCCTGGAAACCTTCGAATTCTTGGCTAGGGGCATCTCTCCACAGGCAGGAAAGCAGCTCTCCTCCACCAGGGAGGTTGATGGCAGAGTGTTTCCCCAGGGCCTTTGTGGCTGCCTTTGGCTCTTGTCCCAGAGTGGAAGGGAGATGTTCTCCTGATGTAGGGCAGAGGAAGTCTCTAAGCAAAGGGGAATGTTAGCAGGCCATGGCACCCTTGCAGCTCATGGGTTTGGGACATGGTTCCATAGTTAGTGACAAACTGGAGGGCTTGAGAAGAGGTCAGAGCTGATCCAGCGGCACAGCTCTGGCAACAGCACAGAGGACGAATGGAATAGGGAGAAACGGGGTCAGAGGAAATGACGGAGGACCTTTCCTAAAGGGTCAGTCAGTGTCTCTAGTTCTGAAGGCCACCAGGATTCATCTGAAAGGACCCAACTGTGCTGTGGCTAAAGCATAGAAGCAGCCACAGTTGATGGCACATGGCAGAGTGTGGCTGAGTCCCAGTAAAACTTCGTTAATTAATATGGGTGGCAGAGCAGAATCAGCCCTGGTCTACAGGCTGCTGACCATGGGATAGGGCAGCATGGGCAGGGAGGGAAGGCAGGGAAGGAGCATGACAGTAGGATTTGGCATTTTGGTTTCCTCAGATGGCTGCCTGGGAAGAAGAGGCCATGTATACCTGGTGAGGGGGAGGGGGACTTGGTGAGCGCCTCTGGGCGGGGAGCCACAGGCTGCACGGGCCGTGTCTGCTTGGCTGCCAGTTTCTTCAGGCTGGCCTGCCTGCGGTGGAACATCTCCTCAGTGCTCTCTTGCTTCTGAAAGACTTTTTGCACGTGTTCCTGAAACAACATGGCTACTAAGACACCTGGCAAATGTCAGTGCCCACCCTAAAATCCACCCTGTCATCCATAGAGAGTGTGTCAGGGTGCGCAGCTTCCTCGGCTTCAGGTGAGTGAGAAGTGTCCATGAACAGTGAACTGCACTGTACCAGCTCTGGTCAGACAGTGAGAGCTGTGTGAAATTCCATGGCAGGACGGAGAGCCATCCCCAGAGGATGACTATGGAAAGGGGATCAGTTTTTTCCTATTGCCTCAGAAATAGAGTTAGGACATCTGGCTGGGGTTGAGGAGGAGCCAGCCCATCTTTGGTGTAACATCAGAGGTACTATGGCACAATCAGAGTTCCAGTGAGTGCCACACCACAAACCACACCTATCTCAGGTGGTACTTTGGGAGATGATGGCATGGTTAGAATAATCTCTGCAAGGCAGGAAGGGCTGAACTTGATGCTTCCTACCCTGAATGTCTACCCAACAATCCTCTTTTCCTACTCAAAGGGTTCTTCAAGGGTTGGGGGATATAGCTCACTGAAAGGGACTTTCTTAGCATGTTGAGACCCTGTGTGTAATCCTCAGCATCTCAAAGACGTGTTCTATGAAATTGCCTATGAACTGGGTCCTCAGTCCCCAGGCCACAGATGGAAATCCATGTTGTCATTACCAGAAGGTCCTGGTTGAGGATGCATTCATAATCTTTGTAAATCTTATTGAGCTCCTGGATCTTATTTTCTGCACCAGTCTCCAAAAACTTCTCGATTTCCTGTAGGGCTGCCTCGGCACCATCCTGGGACTGGCATTTGTCTACGGGCTGTGAGGCCAGCAGGAAGATTCCCTCATCACACCATTTCATGGACTGGAAACAAAGAGAGGTGGGCAGTCAGCATCAGGACCCACTGCACCATCCTTCGCAGGTGTGGCTGCCTGTGGAACTGTGTGCCCCCCACCCCTGCCTCCTGACTGATGCCCATTCAGGATATGAGGCTTCCTGTCACCAAGGCAAAGGGTTATGTGACCCTGCAAAGCTGAGTGGTCTTCCGGGCTGATCTCACCATAGGAGAGGGGGTCAGAATAAAGCAGGACTAACAGGGAACCTAAGTTGAGGTCCCTCCTAAGATCATTGCTGGAACCAGTGGGTGCATCAGGACCAATGCTGTGAGTGGACAAGAGGATGCAGGGGGCAGAGTGCTCTGGCTGTCCTGTTACTGACTCTTATCAGCTCAACCACCCCCTTGCTGGTAAGGGATGACAGCTGGCTTGGCCCATTAGCTCAGATGAGTCCAGCTGGGTTTCCTACCATTTCCAGGAGGCTATGCAGCTCCAGGGACTTGCTGAGGAGGCCCCTCCTCCTGGTGATCTCAGTGGCGAAGTGGTCACAGAGGTGCTGGAGCTCCTCACACTTGGGGTGGATGGAGTCTACAGCATAGTGTTTGTTCTCAATCAACTGCTGACCTTCCAGTGACAGGGCTCGGGCCCTATCCACAGCCACCTGCAGAACACACCAAGATGCCAGTTTAGCCCTGTGTGGAGAGACAAATGAGGGGCAGAGTCCTATGGGTGTCTGTACTGGAGGTGGGAGATAGACATGGAGTTTGTGGACTGCCATGGCTGACTGAGGCCACTGAGTCCTCGAGCCATTCTGAGGCCAAGTTCCTGAGGGTCAGGAAGGTATTGGGTTGCCCGGGCCTAGAGTAAGTACAGGTTTTAAAGTTAAGGAATAATGAGAGATCTAGAAAAAGGGGCTGTGGAGGACAGGGTGGGTGCCTGAGGTGGAGGAGGGTGCTTTGGGGTCTCTGCACACTGCCCGTGTTACCCCTTAGATGCCATGGGAGCTTTGTCAAAGTGGGAAACTCCAATCCTGTGCCCTCTGCATAGCTAGGTGATGCTGTGACCACCCTCGCCCTTCCACCCATGCCGGATTCTCACACTGGACTTCTCCTCAAAGCTGGTCAAGTCCTTCAGGAGATGCTGCACGTGTGCCAGGCTGTTGCCAACATCAGTGAAGGCGGCTATCTTCTGGGACATAGAATCCAATGTGGTCTTGACCTGCAGCAGAGGAAGACTGACTTGGAGCACCTGTGCCTCATTCAGGAGGGACAGGACGTGGGGACCCTGACAGCAGCAAGTTGCTGAGGGCCATTAGAGCTCAGCAAAGCCACCCAGGCCTGCAGAGTCTCTTGGGGCGCTGGTCCTCCCCACGGTGTCAGTCTCTGAACACTTGGAAATGGAACGACCCAAAGTACTTCTAAATGACCCAAAGGTCGAAGAGGAGGCTTCACAGGAAAATCTCAAGACGCTACATTAAATGAAAATGGAAATGCAACATATCAAAACTGTGGGTCACATAAAAAGAATGGTGAGAGGGAAATCGGTAACATTCCTAACAAATATGCATATTATGCATAAGCTGGGTGTGGGGAATCACACCCGTGACTCCTGAACTTAGGAGGCTAAGGCAGGAGGATAGCTTTGGGTTTGAGGCTGTCTGGGCTACATACTGAGTTCCAGGACAGTCAAAACTATATACAGAGTGAGACTTTGTCTTAAAAAAAAACAAACCCAAGATAAGTAAATAAATAAGTGTATTATTAAAGAATATTCTTAAGTAGCTAATGCAGGCTCCTCCCCCAAGAGTCTAGAATAAGACTAACATAAATTCAAAGTCATGATAAAGATTTGATCAGAAATCATTTAAACTGAAAACAAAACAAATTGTTTCCTTGAAAAGATGAACCATTGCTCTTCAAGTGGCACATTGTGATGATATCACAGTCAGTGCTCTGTGTTGTGAAAAGATGCAAACTGTCAATGCCAGTGAGGAAGCAGGAGCTAGCACTACAGGCTCCCACACATGGGGGACTCGAATCTCACTTATCGTGACACAGAGAAAGGGGATCACCTCCTGACAGCATCCCATCACATTTTGTTCGGCATGGAACTGCGAGCACTTTCCACAGCTTTGGAACTTCTAGGAATACTCATTCACCACTTACACACACACACACACACACACACACACACACACACACACACAGACACACACACACACACCTACACTATGTACACACAGGCGAAAAAGAGAAGCTGTGACCAGAAGGAAAGGTGTACACACCACACATCTGACATGCACTGGCACCTATGAATGATAGACAACCCTTAAAACTTAGCAATAAAAACACAAAGGTGGATAGTGCAGCTAGAAAATTGGCTCTGGATGCCTGAAGCAAGTCAGTACCCCAGGCAATATGATGTTGAATTTTGTCAATAGAGTGAGAAGCACAGTACACCCACCCACCCACCAGAGTGTGCACAGCACAGAAAGGGCAATCTTGAACATGTGTGGGGATGCAGAAGAGCTAGGTTGGTCACGCTGCTATGGGAATGCCAAGTGTCACAGGGAACAGTCTGGCAGTTGCTTCTTTTTCTTTGGAAGTGTCTATATACGGTGTGTGTGTGTGTGTGTGTGTGTGTGTGTGTGTGTGTGTGCAGCTGCAACATGAGTACGGGTGTATGTGTACATGTGGAGTTGACATTGTCCTCCTCAATTTCCCTCCACTTTATGTGATTCCGGGGATCTGAACTCCAGGCCCCGAAGTCGCATGACAATAATTTTATCTACTGAGCCATCTCTCAAGCTCCAGGCTTAGAGTTTTCTAATATTCAAACAGACGATCCCAGTGTGATCACTCTTTTCAGAGAACCAGAATTTATGTCCACACAGATGAATGCACACATGTAAATGTCTACAACAGTTTCATCTGAGATAGCAAAACCCAAAACACTGATGTCCTTCAGCAGCACCATGGTAGGCTGCTCACATGTAAGAAAGAGGGAGCTGTAGGCATTTGCCACCACCTGGATGAGGAACCTTTAGAGAACTAGGCAGAGTGAAAAGGCCAGTCCCTAAAGGACACCTTGCTGTAGTATCCCGCTTACAGTGTTCCTGAGTTGGCCAGTGTGGCACAGTGAAGGTATTAATCATGCCCAGGGACTGGGGACATGGGAGGAGTTGCGAGGGCTGCAAAGGGCAGCCCAAGGGTTCTGGTATGATGGGTGTCCTGCACCTACAACTTCAACATCAGTCTAGGCTATTGAGCTATGTCTTGTTACCACTCAGGGAACTGGCAGAGGGAATCGGGATCTCTCAGGATCATTCTGTAGGACTACAAGTGAATGTAGAATTACCTCTGAATAAAAAAGTTTGATTTAAAATGCTATCTGGGGCCGGGCGTTGGTGGCGCACGCCTTTAATCCCAGCACTCAGGAGGCAGAGGCAGGCAGATCTCTGTGAGTTCGAGGCCAGCCTGGTCTACAGAGCGAGTGCCAGGATAGGTTCCAAAGCTACACAGAGAAAGCCTGTCTCGAAAAACCAAAAAATAAAAAATAAAAAAAATAATAAAATGCTATCTGGGGGGCTGAGGAGGTGGCTCAATAGGAAAGAGAACTCAGAGTGGGTGACCTAAGTTCAAATCCGCAGCACACACATAAAAACCTGGCATGGCTGTGTGTAACTGAAATCTCAGCTTTGGGATCCTGAGAGCCCTCAGGCCAGATGGTCTGGACTTAAAGGCAAGCTTCCGGTCCAGTGGGAGACCCTGTCTTTGGGCAGTGAGGTAGAGTGACAGAGGAGGACAACCAACTTCCTGCTCTAGCCTCCATATGAATACACATACTCGTATGCACACATCCCTTCCACACACATAAATAAAAACTATATTTTAAATATCACCTGCGTCAAGCCTTCTTTAGTTTACACATGTTAGACCTCTAGCAGACAGATGCACACCCCTCACTTCCTGAACAGCAACATCCCATGCTCGCCGCTCAGCCACTCACCTCCCGGAAACCTTGCTCAAAGTGGCGCAGCTGCAGGCACTGCTCCAGCTTTTGCTGATGCTTTGCCCAGAACTCGTCAAAGGCAGCCTCGGTCTCATTCAGCTGGGCCAGAAGCCTGAGAAAGAGAGAAGGGGCCACGGGAGTGAGGCCACAGGAGTGAGGCCACAGGAGTGAGGAGGACTATGCCTCCCAGGGTGCACAGCTTTAACAAGCTTTCCTGCAATTCCTTCTTTGGCCTCATGGCTGAGCCCTGGGGTTCTCAGGGTTCTGAGAGACACGAGTGAGATGCGCTTCAGACAAGACTACAGGCTCCCCAATCTGTCACATCGACACTTCAGAACAGAACTGTTTGTTAATGTATGTGCGTGTGTGCCTTTCCCATGGTCCCAATATAACATGCCTGTTCTGCATACAGTCATAGCCCATGTCGGAGAGAACCATGTGAAAGAAAGCTAAAAGCCAAGAGCCTGGCTGCCTCTCGTTGGGTTTCCGGGGAAAATTCTATCCATACAGGTAGGCCGGTCCTGTAGGTGGGACTGTCACCCATATCTAGCCTGCAGCATGGTGAAGCTAGAATGCCAGGAGGCATTCTAGTGTGGGGCTATAGACATGCCAAAGCTTTAGAGAGCCTTAATGGACATTGACTGGTGGCAGTCTGTCCTGTGCCCTGTTATGAACGTGAGAAACACAGACAGAACCCTTTACTGTTAGAGTAAAATGCTGGAACACAGGCACCCTGAAATGCTCTCCTACCTACGAAGACTCACTGGGATGTATCAGCCACATGAGTATGTGTGGCTATGCTACTGCTGCTTGCCCAACATTTTCCCATCTGTGAGACTGTCTGTTCTTGACTCCAGCCCTCTTTGTCATGGGTGCTGGGGTCCACTCCAAGCCCCGAGAGGGAGAAGGGCCAGAAGGCTAGCTGCTGGGATCTGTTGCAATCTCCTTGGCTATTAGTCTTGTTTTTTCACAATGGCTGTGTATCTGTAGAAGTCAGGCCACAGCAAGGTGGGGGGAGGAGAAGGACAGGCCTTACCTCTTTACAGTGGCCTGGTTGTCCAGCTGGTCCTGGTTCACGCTGTGGGAAGTGCTCTCAGCCAGTGGCTCCCTGAGGCTCTCGAGGATGCTATTCCCCTCCTTCAGTGCCAGCTGAAGGTCCTCCTGCAGAGAGTGTGCACACAGAGCTTGTCTTGCAGCCAGCTGGCTGGACTCAGGTCTCAGTACTGAGTAAGTGGGAGCAGCCTGGGATGGGGCACTATGCCCTGTGGGTGCAAACTGTCCCTTCTGTATGATCACACAGAGTATGTAAAACTGTCAAGTGTGTATGTATATTGTATACATATCTCTATAAATCATTGAGATTCTCAAAGAGTTAAATACATACATACATACATACATACATACATACATACACACACACACACACACACACATACATACATACATACATACACACACACACTAGCAAGGAGGGTGCCATGCTCCTGACTGCTGCAGCAAAGCTAGGGTTACAGGACACTCAGGACATGGGGATAAGGTCAAAAAGTAACTGGAAACCAGACTTTTTAACTGTGCCTCTCCTGGAGTTGGCTTTCCTGTGCAGGTAAAAGGCCATTTTAAGGAGTGGGTGACATGCCTGTCAGAGATAGAGCACCATCCTTAGGACACACAGTAGTTTACAGCCACCCAGACCCCACAGTCTCAAAGCCATCGGTTAGGTAGATGTCTACTGCAAGTGATGCAGAGTGTCTGTGCCCTAGAAAGCTGTGCAAACTGGCAGCGCAATGCTACTGTATGCAACAAATTCAATCATAACTTCATCAGTCACTGGTGAGAAGAACCAGGGTGAGGCCCTGCCTGGTTGCACTGGAGCTGCTACCACCCCTCCCCCGCCCTGCCCTCTATGCACAGCCACCAGGAACTGCTCTGGTCTTGGCTTTGCAAACCCTGAAGTCCTTCAGGGTTTCTGGGCCGAGGGGTGCTGCCCACAGATGCACACACGTTTTCACAGGGTTCACTTACGGGACTTTGAAAGGGGGCCTGGTCAGTTCTCAGTACCTCACCAGGCATCTCAGAGACCTGCTTACTTCTGTCTGGTCCTTCCGAGTGGCAACTCACCTGACAGCTTTTGTCTAGGATCACATTTTCCTGCTCCGAACCTTGGCCCCCTGAACTGTTTACTCACCTTTGCTTTAGCCTTCTTCTCTGTGTGAACGCTGAGCACCAAGCTGGTTGACTGGACATCATTCGGCAGTTCTGTTTCAGCCAGCTCCGTGCCAAAGGTCTGCAGCATCTGGGCTGTCTGCTTCACCATCAGGGCAAAGCTTTCGATTGCCTTGGGAGAAGGGAGAACACAGTCACAGAATCCTGCACACGGCCCGTGGCTTGCAGCTCTGAAAGCTGACACCATGACTGTTGTTGGAAAGGAGAGAGTGGCCCCCAAGCCTGTGGACACAAGTGTGCCAGCAAATACCTTCCCATGAGTGTCCCAACCTCATGCTTCTTCAGAGACATACCAGGAAGGCTTTGGAAATGTCCCTGCCACCCAGGGTCATTCTCCGCTCAGGGTCTCTGCCTGCCTCCACCTCCTTGTCAGGAGACTTGTGAGTGTTGAAAACCACAACGACATAAGGCTTGGTAGTTTTTTTTTTTTTTTTTCCTTCTTCTCCAAGCCCAGAAAGCCACACCCGGGCTTATTACTCATGCTATTTCTTTACAGTGACTAAGGTCTACTGAGACCATCTCCTCATTCTTGGGGAAGAAACTTCAGTGAGCGTGTATTTTAAAAGGCAGTGTTGTCATGTGAAAAGAATTCTGCTGGGTTAAGTGAGAACATGGCTACACAGCACCCAGGCCCACTCACTGTGCGGTGGCACAGCCACCTGGAGTGGCAGTAGTCCAGGGTCCCCCCAAGGTCCTCAGTCAGCTGCGATTTATCAATGTAGCCGTGTAGTTCTGGCACTGAGCTTAGCATCATGACCTGTGAGAGAGAGGAGATGATCATCAGGCAGCTTGCTCTGGACTCCAAGGTGGTTCTGGCTTCTGACTTGAATGGATCCAGCTCGGCCCTCTGGTTTGTGGACCTAGGCAAGCCTTTTTTTCACATTGTTCACTTGGCATCCTTGTCTATACGATGGGTATATTATGGTGAACCTCACTGGGTGATGGTGAGGGCCATTGGACATGAACAAACCCTGCACAGGGTACCTGGCCTGTCACGGATATCCAAGGGGATATCCTTCTCTGGAAAGGGGAGCTTGGTATGAGGAGGAAATAGAGCCAGTTTATACTTGCTTCTGCTGAGAACAGCAGACCTCCTTTTAGGTCCTGCTGAGGATCAGCTTAGCAGCTCCCATCTCATCGGATTGACAATTCCAAAGAGGTTCTATTTTGGGTGGTTGCAGTGGCCAGCCAACCTCTTCACACATGGCTTGATTTCATCTTTCTCTGCCATTTTTAAGGCTGTTCTGCCCAAGTTTTAGATAAAAATATAGACTTTGCTTTGTAAGCTGCCAGACAGCTAACACAGAGTGAACCTTCAGAGGCTCAGAGCAGATGTTATTTGATACCATGACATATATTATTCAGCACTGAGTCAGTTTAAAGTGGGGGCTCGTCTGGAGACAACCTGGGCTGTCACAATAGAGAAAATGCTCCATCGACTGCCGGGCAGAAGTCAGGGTTGCTGGGAACCCTAGCACACATGGGTTGGCTACCAGCAAGGAACCATTCACGATGCCGAGAAGCAGCATGAATGCTGAGCCCTGACTGGAGTGGGGCTGCCAGATGAAAAGTGTCAGATTCTCAGTGTGAGCTGGAAAATAGAGTTCCCACAGAGCTGCTCTGTTGTTTCTTGGTTCTTCTAACAAATGTTTCCACTGCTGCCAAACAACCTTGGCTCACGGCCAGTAAGCCAGAGATGGATTGGGTAATCCAAGGAAGCATGCTGCCTCTTTCTTTAACCTTGTTCCTTGTTGGTACTGGTGTGTGTGTGTGTGTGTGTGTGTGTGTGTGTGTGTGTGTGTGTGTGTGTGTGTGTGTGTGCATGCATGTGCATGCATTGTATGTGTGTGACCATGTATGTGTTACACATTTCTAGGCACAATAGAGAAGGCTAGGAGCCCAGGGATGCTCTTACCGAGCTCTCTTGCCTGAGGTCAGTACAGTGGAGAAGTATCAGAAACCTTCTAAAAGCCAAATCCTTTGGTAATTGTGGAATTTATCTTAGATTGGTCTGTGAGCTTGCAGGTGCCATGACAGTTTCTGTAGATCTGTTTTTGACACATACTTACATAATACTACAGAAGAGTTTACAAAAGAGACCATACACTATTATAGATGACCTCAACCTTATTTCCCATGATGCTCAGAGGCAAGGAAAACTGAAGGTTGGAGAAGGGCCTGGCACATGGATGTCATCTGATCATAAGAGGATAAGGACTACAGCATCCATAGGGCTTGGAGGCAAGAGAGCCATGGACACAACTCCCATGTCTGGTTTTGGATTGGGATTTGAACCACTAGTTGGGTGAGAGATTGCCCTGCATGGTTCTACCCTTAATTAGGTATAAGAAATGGGTTGTCCAGAAAGATGCCACAAGACTTGGGATGCAGTACCTTCCCACCAACCTGGGGGCTAGTTATTCTCAGATATACCAAGGCATAACTCTTAAGAGTCACTGTCACCTCTTGAGGCCTTGGGCCATGTTGAACACCCTCCCCTAGCCATTGCTTTGATTCTTGAAGGAGACTGCTATGGAGACAGGACAGAATGAAGCAAGAACCCAGGCTCCATTGTTCCTATTTAGCTCAGAGATGGGCTCTAGCCAGTTTGGAGCAGAGGACAGGGAGCAAGCACAGGGGATGGGCAGTGGTTTTAGACAGTATGGTAAGAGAGGGGTGCCACCTAAAGACCAAGATGCAACAGGCAGCATTGTGGACAGAAACCAGCTCAGATTCTTCCACTTCCAAAAGCAAGGGTGTCACTTCAGGGAAGTCCCACACCCAGGCAATGGTCCCTGTGTTCCTGTTCTCTTCGTGAAAAAGAAATGAACACATAGGGCCACTCTCTGGCAGCTTCTGGGTGCCACATAGGCCATGGCCAGGTTCCATTGACTGTGGGGTGTGTGTGCTTTCAGGAACTCTGTAGAGACTTGGCTTTTGAGGGGAAATAGACCAATGTTAGGGTCCCCTCTGGGGGAAAGATAGGAAGAGGCTGACCCATGCTGGCTGGAAACATGGAGACAAGGTAGGGACAACCTGCTGGGTTGTTCCTGCCTAAGGTCCCAAGAATGTGTGGTTGGCAGATGAAGCTCCATCCATGAACCCATGTCCTCTTTATTAGCTCCGCTTTTCCCTGAGACATTTGGGGTGTGCCCCTCACTGTGAGCTAGCACAGGAATGTCCCGTGACTTATAGTATGCTGACAGAGCTATCCCATGGGACTCACCCAAGGCCGTAGCCTTCCATGTATGAATCACTAGTTGGGGCAGTGCAGGGCTCAAGGGAAGGGGGACTCATAGACAACCTGCCACCAGAACACAGGGGAAGTGTAACCTCAGACCACACAGAATGGAGGTCATTCCTTGAGAGTATACTGTGAGCCCAGAATGCACTTAAGCTTGGTTCTGCTGACACAGTACTCACCGGCACTTTCATCTTAAAGTCATCTCTGTTGAACTTGAAGGCGATGTCGGAGAGGGTTCTCTGGAAAAAGCCCGTGGGCCGGAGAACGAGGACGAGCTGCAGGTTTGCTGGGAAAGACGCCTGCAAAACAGAAGATGGGCTTGGAGCATTTGCTACGAGAGGCCCAGGCCATGGAACCAAACTGCTGCCACAGCTAATGGTGGGCGTCTGCATGGATGCTGCTTAAAAAGTAAAGCCGAGAGCGTATTATAGTTGTCGGGGGTCAAATGCATATCTTCTACTCCCGGTGTGGAGTTCTCAATCCTAGTACTCAGGGTCTTCCCACAGGCAAGGCACCTAAATCCCAGACTTCTAGTCTAGAGAGTGAGTTTCTATTGTTCAAGCCACCCCACCCATGGCACCTTGTCACTTCAGCCACAGGGCACTAACGGATTTGTTAAAGAAAAAGAAGCAAGAAGAGATATATATTTGTGGAGCACCTAAAACCAAGATCGCTATAAATTACTGCAGCATGCACAAGCAAATGCATACCCTTGAATAGTTAGTTCCATGTGTTTGGTTACTCCTTTGTCTCTTGCAAGGTGTTTGATCTTGAATAAGTTACTGTTTCTATTTTCCCATCTGCAAAATGGGAAGTGAAGCCCATGCCTCCCCATCCCACTGGATGAGGGAGTGAGTCCAGCTCATGTGCTTCCAGACACGGATGTCTACCACCCACGGGTGATCTCCCACCCAGGGCAGTGTTCATCAGTGTCCATCACTTGTGGCTAGCCTCCCGTCCAGGACAGTGGACACTGGCCTGGCCCTGGAAGAAAATGTCCTTCTGTTGAACGCTGTACCCTTGGTCCTCACAGGGCCTTCAACATGGTGATGTTCACATCACCTGCCATGTCACACTTTTCAGTCATAGGCACCCTGAGAGGGCATGGTCAGGGCTCTTCCTGAGTGAATATGGAAGTAGGGTGCTGGGAACCCCTGAGGATCCTGCTGTAGAGAGTGCCCTCCAATTCATACTCTTACCCTGGTGACCAGTCTTCCCTCTGCCCTACCATGGCAAGGATGCTGGGACATGCCTTTGTCCACAGCACATGCCCAGCTTCTCCTTCAGGAGGGAGTTATGAATCTACAATGCCAGTGTCAGGCTTTGTCACTGGTGTCCTGGGAGAGAATTTGTGCTCAGACCAAGGACAGAACACAGCCCTGCCAAGGCAGAAGCTGAGGACAGATTTGGGGCTACCGAACACAAGGGCTTCCAAACTTGTCCTCTTTGTGAAATTGAACACCACTATTTAAGGAGACACTGTCACACAAGCAGCTTTCCTCGAGGTGACAATGAATCACACTTCTCTAAACTTCAATTAGCTTTGTCACCCAGATCCACACTTCCCAGAAGACTGGCTCAGTATGGCAGGCTAAGGCTTGGACCCTTAAAAGATAAACAACACCTCACCATTCCTAACAGGTGCAAGACTCCCTGGGGGGAGGTACCATCACCACTGGCCAGAGGAGACCTCCCGTCTCATGGGCTGCTACTTTCTCTTCTTTGAGCTGCCTTAGTCTCTTTTAAGCTATTGAATTTTCGTATTAAATAGCTGTGTAAAACCTAAGCCATGTGGGAGGTTTCAAGGGTGTGCACAAACCCCTATTGTGAACGTAAATAGCAGCAAAGTAAGTATTTCTCCACTGCAGAATCAACGGCCTGTAATTAAGGCTGGGGAAAGGCTAAAACCGAACCATCTCCAAACCAGGATCAGACACATGAGAGTCTGATGTCGGCATTTTTTTAAAGTGCTCAATAATTGTAAATTGTAAAATGACAGTAGGTTTTTTATCTAACATACAATATCGCTCATTTCCTGTTGTTTACACAAGCTGTGCCCAGCCTGATGTTCTATACTTAGTAGTAAATAGGACAGCTGGCAGCTGGCCAACCCCTCTTATCTGATAGCATCCAACAAACAAGAGTTAATATCAATGTGCCAGAGTTTGTATCTCAGCATTAGCCAGCCAGAAGACCCTGGCTCTGAGTCTGGGGTTTCTCGGGAGAAGCTAAATGCTGGCCGTGGAGTCTATGACAAGGTTTTCCAGACACCAGTCACAGGAGCATGCATGAGACCAGTGTTAATAAACCCCAAGCTTCCAGGGACTGAGATCTCAGGGTGGATCTGCACCGCCATGCCACCCAGCTGTGTTTCCCACAGGCGACATGCAGTACAGCCTCACCTACTTGACATCAGTTAGACCTGGGAAAACAAACACACATGGATCCTACTATGTAAGCTCAGGAGACATTGTGTTGGGAGCTATTAGGAAAATGGGACAATATAATACCACCAGAGCAGGAGCTGACTTTCCTGCCCCTACCCTACCACAAGCGGGTGCCTGCAACCTGTTCTTGAAGCTCCAGCTGGCTCTTTAACATTTCCCCTGTAGGGGGCAATATGACTATAAAGCTCACACTGGGAGCTGAAAGGCGTTTTGCACACTATTCTGGTCAGTTTGTAACCCCGTTTAATCTCAGCGGTGATGGAGCCCACACCTGCCCTCCAGGCAGAGAGTAAAGAGTCATCCGGTCATTGACGGGCAGGCATAGCTGCAAAGATGTGGGTGCAGGTTGAGCGGGAACTAGGAGGTGCAGGTGAGGGCCCAGCATCACCAGGCATAAGGCCACTTGGGGAAAGCATTCACAAGACAACACCAGTACACCCTCTACTTGGATAAGAGTCCAAGAATCCCTGTGGCTGCAAACGCAGGCAGGAAGAGTACTGAGGAATAAGCTGCTGGCAAACCCCTAAAGCATCACTGGAGATGACATGACATGCTCGTCACAAACAAAGCAGACGTCTCCTAGTGGAGAAGGCAGGGACCTGACCTGATGGACACATGGGTGCCCTGTAACCAACTATGAGGTTCCTGCTGTGGTGACTTCTTGAAGCTGGAGGCAAAGATATCAAATCAAGGGTTTCTACAAAGTCCTGGCTTCCGGCTGTCTTAAGTACCAACATCACAAGACCTAAAGCGAGACGCAGACTGACTGATGAGATGGCACAACTGCCCTTGCTGTCCCTGACCTTGGGTTTTAGCAGAAGATATAAAAAGCATTTCTGAGAGATGGGGGGATCTGAAAACACAGTTTACTAGGGAATAGATATGTTTCAATAGTATATTCCTGAGTTTACAGATAATTTTTACTGCCATGGTTGTCGAAATAATGTTGGTATTATGTTGCCAGTGTGTATTATGGTCACATAAAAGCACAGCGTTTTCAGTGGGCATATAGCTAAGAAATTGGAGATAACTTGTCATAATGGTGCAACCAGTTCTCAAATGGTCTCAGCAAGCAGTATGGAGTGTATGTGTAGGTGAGTTGGCATGTATGTGTAGTACATGCATGTATGTTAACTTTGTGCACGTGTGTTTATGTATATCTGTGTGCATATGTGCATGTATGTGTGTGGTGTATATCCAGGCACACGTCTGTGTGTACAAGTGTGCCCATATATGAGTGTATGTGGATCTATGTACCTATGTGTGCGTAAGTGTCCATGAACTGATGTGTGTGCACACACCTTTGTGCCTGTATGCTTTCATGTATACATGTATGTGTGCACCTGTGTGCACATCTCTTTATGCATATATCTTCATGTACATGTGTATGTGTGCCTCTCTGTGTATATGCATGTGTGTATATCACCTGTACATGTATCTGGGTGCACACATGATGCATGACTGTACACAGGTCTCTATGTGCATGTTTCTGTGTACACATGTGTCCATGTATCTGTAAGCAAGTTTCTCTGTGTATATGTAAGTTTCTGCGTGTGTATGTGAAAGTATACAAGTATGGCTCTGTGTGTGTGTATGTGTGTGTGTGTGTGTGTGTGTGTGTGTGAGAGAGAGAGAGAGAGAGCATATCTACATATGTATACATGCACACATACATGGGTACATGGGCAAAGTATCAGTGATGGCAAGAATGTCTGTGGTGGTCAGCCTGCTGGACCGTGGCATTCAAGTCACTGTGAAGCACCTTCCTCTGGTGAGTCTGAGTTCCCAGAGACCATTAGGTCAGGCTCAGCGCTTAATCCATGGGTTGGTTAAAGGCATAGCCTATCCACAGATGGAACTGTGGAAGGCGGGCTGAGGGAAGTGTCCTATGGTTGTGCCCTTGACAGGTCTATCCTGTCTCTGACCACTGCCTGTCACTCCTCTCTGGCTCCTGGCCTCTGTGAATGGATGCTGTCTCTCTGCCATGTCTGTCCCTGTGGAGTGTCTGTCTTGCCATTGCTTTAAAACAACAGAACCACCGGACCACGGGCTGGGACCTCTGAGACTGTGAGGTAGAATCAGCCTTTGTTTTTCTAAACTACTCCAGTATTTGTCAAAAGGAAAACCATGGACCAGAAGTCCCAGTGGGACAGAAGCAGGAAGGATGAGGCATGCATGAGAGAGAACACCTCCCACCCCAGCCAAATACTAAGACTGATAAGTATCATTAAAAAGAGAAAACACTGTAATAAAAACAAGTAGGAAAACGTGGTTATTGAATGGAGGGCAACTGTTTAAACAGACAATTTTCAGGGTTGTGCCCACTTTCCTTCTGGAATATTCTGGACAGATGCTATCCATGATGCTTCTGAGCTCTGGTGGCCACTTGACCTTGCAGCCCCAGTGACTGGCGCAGGCTAGGAATCAAAGGACAACACCTAGTGAGGTAAATGTGACCGTTGGCTAGGTGACCTGCAAGCCCAGGTCCCTTTGATGTAAGTTTTAGACTGTTTTGCACAGATTATATCAGTCCCAGGGCATAAAACATTCTACCCCAGGGCAGACCCAACAATACTTTAAATGCTGCTTTCTTGGGGCTTAGGAGATAGCTCAGCTATAGAATTATTTGCTATACAAGTGCAGGTCCTGAGTTCAAGCCCTCAGAGGGAGCATGGTAGTTCATGGGATATGGCAGTACACACTGGTAATCCCAGCACTAGGGGAATGGAAACAGGAGGACCCTGGGACTTGCTGCTAGCCAGTCTAGTTGGATCAGAGTCCCAGGTTCAGTGAGAGACCTTGTCTCAAGAATAAGATGGAAAAGCAATTGAAGAAGACACTTGACCTACAACTCTGGTCTCCTCACTCCCACATACATACATAATACATACATACATACATACATACATACATACATACAATTTTTCTCACACACAGGTTCATACATTCACAGACACAAAATCAATTTCCTTGAGTAAATCATGTTAGAGCATAGATCTTGTTTGAACTAGGCTACCTATGAGTATAAACATGTACACTCTATGATGCGATCCTCAGTGGTAACACACCCATTAGACACACAGAAACACATACTGTACTGTATGGTAGGGCAGGTGAGATGTTGACAGAGCATCTAAAACAGTCAGGTGTTTTGTAACCCCGTGAAGATGGTTACTCAAAACTTTGAGCCAATTGCTTGGCAGTGAGGAGGTGCCTGCACTCTCAGCTTTGGGGTCTGCCATCTCTGTCTTTGCTCACTGATGGAGACCAGGCACCTGGAGTATTAACATACATGGGCAGATGGACACATACTTTACTCTTGAAGGAAGCCCTGGGAGTCTGATTTTAGGGAGACTGGATGTTCGCCTCCTCCAGTTTCTTAGTTTTTTTTTTTCACTTCCAATCCAAGCTGAACGCATCAAAAGGGAAAAAGATCACCCCAAAGCAGGGAACGCCAACCCACGAGGTAGCACAGATGGCAGCTAAGAATAGTAGTCATCCAAGGCTTACATAAGTGTGGCTCAGCAGGAACCCAGGCAGCAGGAGGCAGAAGCCCCTTCGGCCTCCTTGCTTCTGTGGCTCTCTGAGTGGGACTGTTTGGATGGCCTCCTGAGGGCCTGGCTGGTTGTATCAGATGCTAAGCAGTAGTCTCCCTGAAAGTGTCTGGACAAGAAAACCCAGTGATCAACAGAGCCCTAGTCTTGGTGTTGTGACCATGGCAGCTGCTTCTGGACATACTCTAAAGCCAGCATCCTGGAGGAGTTGTACCGGTCTGCCTCCACAACTATGGGGAGTGTGTGGATATGCCTAGGCAGTTTCCCCATTCCCAGCCCCCCGCCCCCCAATAGACCCCGCTGTGCTCATACTGTGCTTCCTCACCAGGGGACCCTTGCCAGAGGCCCAGAGGGGGACAGCTGAGGCCCTTGAATGCAATGGTGTGGAATCCTTCCCTGGGCTTCAGCTAGTGAGGCTGAGACTGCTTCCCTCATCACAGGAATAACCAAGACATGCTCCCAGAGACATGCTTAGCTCACTTCCTTCTGCCTGCTCCCCTGCCCTGTGCTATACTCACACACATGCAACAGCCCTTTCAGAGAGCCTCTCCAGAAATCCTAGCCAGACAGGAAGGTGGGCCTAGTCGTAGGACAACAACAAACTGGCTTGTAGATCCTGCCCCCACACTGGGTAATCTCAGATCCTTCCTACACTCACTGCCTACCATGCCCAGTACCCTTATGGCAACCTTCCCTCGCTGTACTCCACACCGAGCTTGGCTGTACACTCCTGGATCACTTTCTTCTTCATTTTCACAGGCCTGCCCCAGCCATGGGCTACAACAGTTGCTCAGAAAGCCTGCAGGGTGTGTTAATACCCTTGGTCATTCCTTCTAACAGGAAAGCACTAGAGACCAAAGAGAATTCATGGCAATTTTTTTTCGAATGAACAGTTATTTCTGCTACTTCCAAACTAGCACCAGCAAATGCTAAGAGTCATAGGAAAACTACTTCCTATTTTATAGTGTCAGAATCAATGCACGCTATGTATGGTACTGTGTGCCTACAATTCCAGTGTTTGGGAGAGTGAGGCAGGAGGGTCAAGAGCCTTGACCACTCCCTGCTATAGAGTGAGGCCCCGACTCAAAAACAGGCAACAACAGCAGAGAAAACAAAAGGACAATATAAACATAGAAGAAAAATTCTTTCCTTATAGCCACTGTGTTCTCAAAGCAAAGTTTGGAAGATGAGCCAGCTTGCTCAGAAACCCACCTTGTTTCCAGCTCAGCTGTGGTCACACTAACAGCAGGAACCCAGGCTGCTGGGGTGTGTGCCACATTTGGGACAGGTTCATAGGGCTGCTTCAGTCTTAAAATGTAACCTCTGTGGTTCCTGGGAAAATACTTTGTATTTGGAAACATATCATCTGACCTGGGAGTGAGCCACTAGCTAAAACACAGACGACTCAGTGGGTGAAGGTTCCCAGGACCCACGTTAGAAGGGAAAAACAGATTCCTGAAAGTTGTCTTCTGACCTCCATATACATGCTATAGCATGTGTCCCCAAATAAGTAAATAAATGTAATTTAAAAAATAAAACACACACTCACTTTCTTACATGCGCGCACGCACACACACACACACACACACACACACACACACACACACACTGTGATGGTCTCACCTGACATGTGACCAGGTGTGTACATGTGTGCAAAAGCCATGGTCATGCTGGCTTCACATAGGTACAGAGCTGTGCCTCTGTGACAGAAGGAGCTGTGGAGAAGGTGCCTAGGCTCTGAGTGGGTGTGAGCAAGAGTGAGTACAGGAACTGAGGCTGCCCAGGTGGGGAAGTATGTGAATGAAGGTTTTGAGGGCCTGATCTCATCTCAAGAGTGTGAGTACAGCTGGTCCTAACCCTAGAGAGAGAAGTCAGGGCCATCCAGACTCCTGCCATCCACATTGGCAAAACTTGGCTCTACAGCTTCTCTACACTGCTGGAAGAGCTTGGGAGAGGGGAAGGATGCTGCTAGTATCAACCCAGGACTGACCAATCCTCTCCAAAGGACCTGCCATGGCAACAGCTCAACGTGGGTACTGCTACTGGATGTGGAGCAGCCTGTCACAGCATCCTGTACAAACCCATGTGACTGGAAATTTGGATGTGTGTTCACATGTCCGTTCACAGTTGATGGGACATCAGAAACACCCCCAGGACCCTGGGGCCAGGACAGTTATTGTATAATGGCCCCGTGTCTTGTGAGACTCCCACCAGGTGTTGTCACTATTTCACATCAGTGATGACAGGAAGACTAGGTGGAGACAAGGGAGATGGGAGCTTGCTAGGCACCCTGGCAGAAGTGTACAAGGTGGCAACGGGATGACGCTCAGTGAGGGACAGGTGTGCAACCAGACTATGGGCTGCAAGAATCACGGTGGACACAGAGCCTTTAATTTTTCTTAGAGAGGAATGGGTTTCAACCCATAGACAGCAGCCCCCAGGTGGTGGTGGGGACCCAAAGTCAACAATGAATTCCTGACCCAGAAGAACTGGAAATGATGGGATCAGTTGCCCAGAGACCTTAGCAGCCGCTAAACAGCCCCAGCCCAGTGCCATGGTGCTGGTGGGCAACCAAACTTTGGCTCCTTCATGAAGTTGTGGGTGACAGGTGGGGACAGCAAGTGTGGGTGAACTTGTCTTAGAAGAAATGGCCTGTGTTAAGTCTGTGGGTGGGCGGGGAACAGCTGTTGAAAAAAGATTCCTGCTGCCTCAGTCTTACTGCTCTGAAATGATAATTGTGGCCTGAAAATGCCAGGGAGTCCTGCGACTTTACGGCTGTGGGGGCTGCAGACAGTCCATGGAAGTGAGGGCTATGAGGGCTTGGTAAAGAGGACCAGCACATCTCAGGACTAACGTTAAAGAGAAACAGCCCAACGTGGAATGGCTAAAGTTGCTTAGAAACAATGAGAGGATTCAATATCCACACTCTAGCCTGAAGACCAACAAGCTCAGAATTCTGCTCAAAACTTGTGTGATCCATTATTAAGAAAATCACAAATAACCCTAAGAGTTACCACCCAGGAAAACAAACATGCCCAGACATCAGGAAGCCCTCTGGGGCTGGCATGGCTCAACCTACCCCTGGCTAGGTCCCCTGCTAGCCACCTTAATCCCCTACCTTCCACACAAACTAGAAAGAAAAGCAGTGAGCTGCCACCCTCCAGGAGCGCAGAGAGCCCTATGAGGTACTTACGGCTATTCGCAGGACTGATGCCTTCACAGAGGTCCATTTGTCCTGCCTCCGGTCTATGACCAAGATGAAGCCAATGCCAGCATCTTGCAAACTGAAACAAGGAGAAACACTTTCAGTCAGCATGTGCTGGCAGCCAACCTGGCTTACAAGTACATCGGTGACCCCACCATCCCATGCCATCTCTGCACTGCAAGCCAAAGTGCATGCCAGAGAGAGGTCTCAGCAGAGAAGCAGGCTTCTGAAGGCCTGAGCAGCCCCACCCTGTAATTCCCAGGACTTTCTTCTGTGTAAAGGAGAACAGATATTTTCGGTATGTTGTTTATTTCTCAGCATCAATTCACAGATCAGCAGAAGCCCCTCCTCCAGGCACAGAGTGACATCTCACTTCACTGCAAGGGCTAAGCCGCTTCTTTTTGGGACAGCCGATCAAACCATCCAAAACAAGCTTCAGGACCCATACATCAAGTTAGTCCCAGCATCTGAGGTCCTGTGTTCAGACACATTAAAAAATGGCTCCTGATGACATCACAATTTTGGGTGAAAATCTCCAAGGCTTGTGAGGGCTCCCTGGTGTCCGTGGGGTGTGAGGCATGAGCTTTCGCCCTCCGCAGCAGCGACATCTGTGATAAAGGCAGGGCAGCATTGTGCAGTTGTGTGGCATGCCCTGAGTCTGTCAGCTCAGCCTGGCGGCAGAAGCCTGAGTCATGGGGTGGAAGTGGGGGAAGCAGGAGGCCTGCTTCTGTTGGGTAATTTCACATCCAAGCCAATTGTGCAGTGCCAGCAGCCACTGCAGCCAGCCAATCCTCAGCAGAAAGGAACGAGACAGGCTGGTGGAGGCACTGGCTTGGACAGCCTGATTTCCGAATCTATGAACGTATCTCAGCAAGCCATTTCTGTACTTAAGTGAAAGTCAGAATTCTACAGTGCACTATAAATTATGCAGTCGGCAAAACTCTGCAGGCTGAAACTCCATTAATAGACCGTTCTGAGTCCCAGGAAGTAATGTGAAAGTGGTATGCAAAGCACACACCAGGGTGCTGCAGAGCATCCTGCACACCAGGGAGATGAAGGATTCCACGTGTTCAAAGACACGCAAAACACTCCCGATGAAACGCCCACATACAAGAAAGATTTCTCCCTTCTGCTGCTGGCAGCTCAACAGAATTGCAGACCTGCTCACCTCCCCACAAAGTTCTAGTGGGCTAGTGCCTGAGGAAGTGGAGAAAGAATAGACCTCCAGCCCTGCTCTGGCCTGGGCAATACAGGCACCTACATCCCAAGACTGTTTGGGAGCTTTTGAGTGGCCCTACATAGAGTTTCACTGATGTGCTTAATGGGTGAATTCAGCTAACCTGTCCTGGCCTACACCCTGTGGTCCACAGCACAGCCCCAAACCAGGCAGGGAGGTAGTAGCATTGTAGTGGCCACCTGGAGTACAGTACACTGACAATCCAAGGATGATGGGTCCCTGACCATCCCAAGGTTACAGGCCATTTCCCTATGGTGCAGTCAGGGAAGCTCCAAGGCCACAGGACAACTGGGCTAATGGGAGCACACCCCTGCCTCCCTCCTCTACTACAGGGGAATATGCTGGGCTGCCACTGAAGCTCTGAGTCAGTCACCCAAGCCTGACTCTTCCTGGAGTGACAGGAAAAAGAAGGCTCAGAACAATGGCTTGTCACCATACACATAAGCCTTAGTCCAAACAGCCTGGCTGCATGCTTCCAGCCTCAAACCAGTGACCAAGGACACCCACAAAGGGCTTCCTAATAGCAGCCTATACCAAGGGGTGTGCATGAGGTGAGATACTGCTCTTCTACGGTTCACTGTGACCACCTCCAGTTCCTCTTCTACAAACACAGGAATAACAGCAATATCCACCTGGTGGGCCCCTGTGACCTACATACAATCCAGTAAAAGTGGAGATTTATGGCTGGGGCCACCATTTCATAGAACACCACAGCCTGACTCAGTTTCCCCCTGTTTTCTGAAGCAGTTCCTATTGTGGAGCAATCAGCCTCCTCTCCAGTCTCTACATTTCTCATGGAAACCCTTCATGAAGGACCTGGGGAGATGACTAGTAGGTAAATTTGCTTGCCATGCGGTATGAAGGCCTGTGCTTAAATTCCAAGCACCCACATAAGAAAAAAGCTGGCACAGTGGTGCACACTTGTAAGTTTAGAACCAGGAGGCTGAGATGGGATCTCTGGGGCTCACTGGTCAAATCAGTTGGGCCAAATCAGTGATCTCTAGATCTGGGGGGAGACCCTGACACAAAAAGTAAGTCAGAGAGTGATTGGGGAAGACATTACATGTTTTCCTGTGCATTTGTACAGTACATACACACACATGCATCTGATACACCCACATGCATGTGCCAACACACATAAAGATACTCCTTCCACAACAGGACCTAGACCTGAGGCCTTAGTCAGTTCCTGAAGCTAGAATATTGTCTTCAGGAACAAATGTCACAAAGCAGCCCAGGGGTGCTGGCCCCACCCCTGCCTAATGCAGAAGCTTGAGAGCCTACATCCAGTTTGCCAGCTCCTATGTGCTTCTGCCCAAATGCCCAAGCAAGCACAGACACTTGCTATTGGCCACACAGAGGCACAGCATGTTCCTCAGCCCTCCATCCACGAAGCTCTGTCCAGTGCCATGGGCATGGCCTTCACTCACTCATACTAAACATCTGGCTTTTTCTAAAATCCTGTACTATGAACACTAATATTTGAGTGAGAAGATTATTACATATGAAAGACTGTCTTAGTCGGGGTTTCTGTGGCTGTGGTGAAACACCATGACCAAAAGAAAGTTGGGGAGGAGAGGGTTATTGGCTTCCACTTCCACATCACTGTTCATCCTCAAAGGAAGTCAGGGCAGGAACCTGGAGGCAGAGTCCATGGAGGGGTGCTGCTTACTGGCTTGCTCCTTTTCTTTGTACATCTGTATAAGAGTGGCCATTAGTAACCACAGGACACCATCAATAGTAGGCTGTCTTGAAATCTCCTCTACCAATGCCATTAATCCAAAACTCTTCAACTTAGGCTCAGGCAGGGCAGAGATCAGCCACATACTTCACCCCAAATATCACAAGAACAGTCTCAGTCATTTATTAATATTCTCCTCCTCTGAGACCTCTTGAGCTGAGCCATCATAATCTACACTGCTCTCAGCACCAGTCTTCCATGTTCCTACTAGTATGGCCCATTAAGCTCCACCTTAAAGTGTTCATCTGCTTTTCTAGTCCACAGTCCCAAGGTCCATATTTCCTTCTAACAAAAGCATGGTCAGGTCTCTCACAGCAATACCCCAGTCCATGTCACCAAATTGTATCTTAGTTAGGGTTTCTATTGCTCTGAAGAGACACCATGACCATGACAACTTTTATAAAGGAAAACATTTAATTGGGATTTGCTTATAGTTTCAGAGGTTTAGTTCATTGTCATCATGGCGGAGAGCATGGCAGCATGCAGGCAAACATGGTACTGGAGAAGGAGCTGAGAGTTCTACATCTGGATCCATAGGCAGCAGGAAGAAAGAGATGGACACTGGGCTTGGATTGGGCTTTTGAAACCTCAAAGCCCTCCCCCAGTGACACACTTCCTCCAACAAGGCCACACCTCTTAACCCTTTCAAATAGTGCCACTCTCTGATGACCAAGCATTCAAATCTGTGAACCTATGAGGACCATTCTATTTCAGACCACCACAAATACAAAGAATTAAAAACACACTAGGAGGATGGGCCAAATTGCAAGCCGTGTTTCTGGATGGTCTCCTCACTGTAGCTAGTTTATGGCTTGACAACTGAGTGTGGGGTGGCAGCTGTATCCTCATCCCAGCATCTCATAGTCTGGGGCACAGAGAACTCCCAGGGCAGTAGGTTTCATCATGATTCCTACCAGCCAGGGCCAGGCCCCTCTTTCTGGGTGAGAACCTTCTGACTTTCTGTGTGGCTATAGGCCAAGTCTGGGACTAACACCACCCCAGTTCTTTACTGAGGCCTCATGGTGACTCTGTGAGTGTGGGGTACTATCTTGCCAGGCAAGGGAAGGTTACATTTTTTTGCCCATTGTCACAGAGCCCAGAGAGAGGGACCTGCCACACTAGATCATTAGGACACTATGGCTGCCTCCCAGTCACACTCACAGTAGGAAATCTTGGAATGAGGCAGTCCCTATCGTCCTACCATCACTGGCAGCCTCCAGGCCCAGTGCATACTCAGCTGGTTCCCAGCCACAGCTCTATCTTGTGTCTTTCCAATGTGGGGCCAGCAAGACCCCCCCTCCTTCTGCCAACATCTCTCTCCCTCCCATGCCAGGGAGCATCGTTCTATAGGAAGAGAAGGCTCAGCTGAAGGTGGTCCCAACATCACAGTGTCTCCTTGCCTACACTACCTGCAAACTAGGCCCCGGAATTGGCCCCAGGAGGCTGGTGGTTCCCCTGCGATCCTGCAGGGAGGTTCCCTGGGCCTTGAGAGACAGCTGTGGCTAGTTTCTCTGAGAGTGAAGAACTGAAGGAGGTGGCTTGAGGAGGAGGTGGCAAGAGGGAGCCTCTCGTGTCCCCTGCATTCAGGCACCAGCATTGCTAGCAACACCCACCATGGTACCCAGCTCCAAACATGTAAGGGGGTCTTCCCAGGCAGGCATGTGAGCTCAATTAGAGTTCTGTGAGCTTACTTTACACAAAATAAGGCCCAAAGGCCTCACAAAGGCTGTTTCAGGAGTTTGGAATTTGCTGGAACCATCTCCAAGGCCACTATTGCTCTAGTTTTGAAGGTGTGATGTCTGACCACCGGGAAGGAACAGTGATCATAGAATGACAGGCACAGGGCCAGGCTCTATCCTGTGACAGAAGTAAATGCCCAGCTTCATATTTCCCCCGTGACCTAGCTCAGCAGTATCTTACTGTCGACCCAGCAGAGACAGTAGGAGGACCTACTGGGGGGCAGCAGAGGTCAAAGCCCTCTGACCTCTGTGAAGGAAGCCCCATCAGAGCTGCATAAGGCTGATGATATAGAACAGTGTCCTCTGGGCATGGCACCCTATCTCCCATGTGACTATAAGGAAACCCCATCAATTCATCGTGTTGATTGATAACATGGACTTGGAGGGGAATCTTTTCTTTGGCTTGTCATCAGTCCCTTTGGTGTCATGGATGTCTTCTTTCCAGAAAAAATTAACCCTACAGGTCACCTAAGTAGAAAGCGAAGCATGGGATGTTAAATATTCAAGGACCAAACAGCAAGAGTGTGTGTTAGGGCTAGGGTACAGCAGCCAACACTCAGAACACGTGGTCTAAAATGCCAGTGGATGCTGGCATTCCAGTGGTTGGTGGAGGGCAGGACAAGTGTGATGTGTTCCCCTGTGGTCCCTGGGTGAAAGGAACCCCTGTACATGAGGTCAGGAGAGGGTGTGGGGCCTGGAGAGAGGCAGCTAGTGGTGAGAAGATCCAAGGCCCAAGGGTCACAGGTAATGGTCATCACAGATGGAACGTCTCAAGTCAGTGGGACTTGTTCCCTTGATTTCTCTGGGTGAAATGTCTCATCCTACCTGAACGTTATTATGTCTTAGTGACACTAGAGTTTAAGAGCAGTTCCTGGAGTACAGTGTACAAAACTTACAAACTAGTGATAAGAATGAAGGGGGTAGGGCAGGGCAAGTCTGAGGAACTATGAGGCTCATGGTAAAATTTGGGATTTTACAATGGTTTGGCTAATGGCGCCCTCATGTGGTCATCATGAAGCTGCACATTCAGGAGGGCGCTGGAGCCCAGTGAGGCCTGGGCATCTGGGAGGCCGGAGGGAACAAAAATAAACCCTTTCCTCCCCCAGTTGCTTTTGATCATGGTGTTTCGTCAAGGCAGCAGTGACTCCGACTAAGATAGAGGAGCAGATGGGGTACATGAGGCTCAAGGGAGCATCACCTGCGTAGAAATTTAGGAACTGTCATTACTAAGGGACAGAACGTTGAAAAACTACAGACCTAGTAACAGGCCTTCAACGTAGCGGGGGGGCCTCAACCATGAGAGCACAGGCCCCAAAGCCCCCTGTTGATAGGCGGGTGCATGTGGCCTGTTTACACTGTGGGGGACAATTAAAAGGACGCCGTGCTGCCCACCACACATGGAAGTGAGCAGTCTTGAGGTTAACAGACCCTTCTCTGTGGCTCCCAGTGAGGCAGAAGCAGAAGCAGAGCTTGCACATTTGACACGGCACATGCGTGGCTGTGGTTGGGCGCATGCGTAGATGCATACACTCGCTCTACCTGTACCACCCACACATCCATGGAAACGCCCATCTGAGTTCTTGGCAGGAATAAGGTTGTCCCAGGGCCACAAGTCTGGCTGCTTTGGGGCCTGTGTGAGTGGGCAGCAGGGGGGGGGTGATGGTGAGACAGCTGTTCTAGAAGACTGCATTCACACCACCTGAGGAGTTGGATCCCCTCATTGGAGCTTCTGTCCTTTGCATCCCACCTCACACGGTCCTCACAAGCTGTGTATCATTTCACTGAGCACTTGTGTCTCTGCATACTTGTGAGCACGTGTGTGTATTCACATCTGTGTGCATCTGTCTTGTTCATTTCTACCTGCACACTTTAGTATACACATGATATGTATGAATCTGTATATGTGGAAGTGCACACAGGCACCTTTTAGGAGCAGTGAGACTTTATCACTGAGAACAGCTGGGAGAGGAATCCCTGTCTGCCTATGTGACTGGAGGGGCTTCATAAAGGGAGGGTCAGTGTGCAGCAGGGGAAGGTGCCCAATGCCCTCCGTCGGCTCCCAGGCCTGAATGAAAAGTGCGTCCAGATGATTTATGATCTGCTTAGGAGCAAATGCTCTCTGTGCTTTGCTTTGAATTTACCTGGACAGGTGTGTCTTAGCTGGAGCGGAGGTTTGTAATAATCAGCTTAGGGTCTGCTGATGAGGCAAGGCTGCCCATCACTCCGCCAGCCCCCTTTCCACCCAGGTGCCTGGATATCCTTGCCAGAGGACCCTGGCTCCCCAGAAGTTCCCACAAACCAAGACAGCAGAACTCCCAGGGAGCCAATGGCAGCAAAGAGAACCCACAGTGACCAGCAGAGATGGAGCTTTTCTCTGCAACACTGTTTCCAGGGGGCTCTTCTCTGCAACATTGTTTCCAGGGGCAGCCACCATGATTTCCTTCTTCCCTTCAATATTCAGTTTTTCTTTTGTTTTATTCCCTCTTTTCCTTCTGCCCCGTTGATGGGGGTGTCCTTCTGTATGCTGTGAATGTATGTTTTTCTTATTGGTTGATGAATAAAGCTGTTCCATCCAATGGGCAGGCAGGATTTAGTCAGGCAGGAAATCAAAACAGGGAGAGAGAAAGATAGTAGGCAGAGTCAAGGAGACACCAGGAAGGTGGGACTCCTGGGCATTCTCTGGTAAGCCAAGACTATGTGGAGATACGTAGATTAGTAGAAATGGGTTAATAATTAAGAGAGAGATAGCCAATAAGAAGCCCGAGCTATTGGCCAAACAGTTTATAATTAGAATTAGCTTCTGTGTGTTTATTTGGGACTAAACAGCTGTGGGACTGGGCAGAGCAGAAACTCCCATCTACAACCCATCTCTCTGGAGTCTCCTATGTAAATCAGGCCAGTCTCAAACTCATGGTCTTCCTGCCTCAGCCTCCTGAGTGCTGAGTTTACTGTAGGAACTGTGCTGGGCTCCCTTGAATATTCTTAAACTTGCAACTCATTTGCTTTGCTTCCCACATGGTAGAATGTGTACATGCATAAACACGTAAATGTACGGATGTAAACATGTATGTGAATTTGTGTATAATGTGTATAAGGATGAATATATATGCACGAACATACATAAGTGGATATGAGCATGCATATGTGAACAAATATTCGAACACACAGGAGTGTGTGTGCATGTAAAAGTGTGCATGTGGGGAGCACAGGTATGAAACTCTGCATACGTATGAGTTCATTTGTGAGTATGAGCATGCATAAGTGTACAAGCATATGTGTAAGTGTGCATGTTAGTTTGTATGTCTGTACATGTGAGAATACGTGAATGTGTGTGTGTGTGCGCGCGTGCGCGCATGCACATGTGCAAGGGTAAGGATGCATGTCTGTAAAAAGCCTTGGCAGCCTTACTCAGACCAGTAAGTGATTAGGGAAGTTAGGGGATTATCTTGGCTGATGTGGGGTGGGTGAAGCCACCTCCAGAATCATTAGCCTGTGGGGAAGTGTAGAGTGACAGACACTTGTGCCCTGCAAACTGCAGCATCTCCCACTGGGATCAGCTACCACTGGCTCACCCTTGAGGAAGAAATGCTTGCCAGTCGAGGATGAAGACGATGACTCCACTGTCTGTCTCCTCTTCCTCTCCATTGGGCTACTTCATTCAGCACATTCAGGTCCCTCTCATCTTGGGGTAGAATCTATATGCTTCCCACTGCTGTCACCCAGGCTAACCTCTGTGGTCTCCTGGGCAAGCTAAGCAGGAGCTGTCTCTGTGTATCCTCCATTTCTCTCTATATTCTGTCAGATTTGCTCTGATTATCCAAACTGTCCTCGGTCGAGTCCTAACATGCTGGGACAAGCCAGAAGGGCAGGACTCCTGAGCATCACAGAAGGGACAGAAGGAGGAGTTGAGCTTCTATTAATGGCTGGAGGGAACAGTGGATGGAGTGAGTCCACTGCTAATCGCAGGCATAGCACAGTACTGAGCTAGAAACACATAAACCATCTACAGCCACAGGATCTGTGGGTTCCCTGCTCCTCGGGTAAAGTCTGGGTTCACCTCTATTTCCTGCCTTAGTCCTACATCCCTTGGCATAAGAGATCTTCTTCCTCTTCTGGGACACATGGGAGCTCTGTTTTAACTCTTCCCCCGTTCTGTCCACTGTCAGTCCTATCCACCAGCTCTCACCCACTCCTAGCCAGGCCCTTGCTCTGGGCTCCAAACATAAAATGGATCAGTCTGGACCTGCCTCCTCCCCTTGGATATCTGAGTGAGTCTCAGATAAAACACAACTACTTCTCTAGCCTCTCCCTCAGCTCTATGACTGACTGAGGATAAGCAGCTCTCTAGTTATCTCCCAGTCCCTCAGTCCCAGGTTTGGAACTGCTGTGAACCAAACAGCTATCAAGTTCTAGGCCTCTCTGATGCAAGACAGCCATTGTTGGATTACCTCAATCATAATGTGTAAACCAATCTAAGAAATCCTCCTTTAATATATATTCATTCCGTGGGTTCTGTTCCTTGAGGATATCTTGACTAAAATGACCGCCAAAGACATAAAAGTGGCTATAGCTACTTCTCCTTTCTTGACGTCCAGTGGTTGTCACAGGGACCAGGTCTCTCTTGTAGGTTGATGACCTCCTATGACTGATGACCAGACTGGACTGGTGGCCAGGCTCTGGGATACACTGAGCCTCACTTGCAGAAGGTTTTCTTCCATAGACATAACCATATGGAGCCTTTCCCATGAATGGAGAGAAAGACTCCGTGTGGATTTTTGAGCCCAAAATAGACAATGACTAGTGACATTTTTTAAAAGAGAAAAATGATTATATTTTGTTTCCTTGAAACAGGTCTCACTAGTAGCTCATGCTGAACTTGAACTCAAGATCAAGTGTTGGAATTTCTATAGTGCCAAGTAGTCATGGGAAGAGGGCAGGCCCAGGGTCTGTAACAATGGACTCTGACCTGTCACTCTTTTCCTCCACCCTGTCCCAGGCCCCCTGGAGTCTCATCAAGCAGTCAACAGCACAGGATGAGCTCTGGCTTCAGCAGCCCCTACCTGGGGATGCTGGTGAGATAGGTCATGACATTCTGGAACTCCTTGTCCGGGATCTCACTGAAGGCTGGGTAGTCAGGGAAGGTGATGACGGGGCTTCCATCCTGTCCCCGCCCACCTGGGAGGAAAAAGGGAGATATTCAGCAGAGTCCCGGTCTTGCAGCCGTCTCCAACAGATACTTCTTGTGAACACTGGATGTCTTAATTAACCTGCATAGAAGCTTATCCTTATGACAAATGGAGACCATCACAGAAAACCACAGCTGGACATAATGCAGACATCAATTGATTGTGGGGAGCCCAACCCCCAGTGGATACATTCACATCATATCCCCCAAGACCCAGATATCTAACAAAACACCAAAACCAGGCATGAAATTCCCTTTTGAGTTGTTGGTCAGGGTTGTCCAAGAGATTTTCAAAACATTATAACCTATTGCTGTTGCCCCAGAGGTGGAAGGTAAGCACCTTTTACTGGAGACACTATACACTTCAGACACAGGACCCAGAGGGCCTGAGCTGGCTATGACCTGAAGCCTCCTCCAGAGGACTGACTTTCATGGTACCAGAAAGATACAATGCAAATTTCCAAGGCAGGGTAGAGACCAACAGTCCTATCCAGATAGGATGCCTATGAATCATAATGAAGTCCAACATGGCACCACACACAAACCTTGTTGTAATAGTGGCATGCATACCTCGGAGGTAACCAACAACTCTCTAATAGGATGTAGGCTCACTCAATGAGAGGGAAGCCATGGCTGGTACTGAAAACCTAGCCAACAAAACCTGGGGCTAGTAAAGTCATGGACTTTGGAGGAAAACCTACAAATACCATTTTACTAAACAAGCACAATTACATTCTAAATATTTAATCTTGTACCCACAAATAAGTATAGTTCTCATCCCTTGTCAAAGGAACTTCTCTTTGCAACAGACAGAGACCATTGCAGAACACCACAGCTGATCATAGTGCAGAGAACAAGAGAGAGCGTGGTGCCCAGTCCTAGATGATACATCTCCAACATAACCCCTGTACTTAAGCCCAGGGCTCACTGTGAAAAGGGGGGTGGAAAGATTGCAATAGCCCCAAAACCCCAAGAATTTCTCCGTGAATCTGTGTCTCTTAGAAATATGAGGAAGACTATATCCATGAAGTCTCATAAACTTGGCTGCCTACACAAGACCCAAACAATGACACCCTGGACAAAGAACTATAGGCAACTAGGGAATGCTAACAGCTGGAGAAAGGGTCTTCTCCAGGACAGAGCGCCCCCCCAACTGATAATCTAATACCAAGCAGTCAGCCTTGAGATCATATACATACATGTAACATTGGACAGCCTGGGAAGGTTGCATGTATATATTTAAGAATACACATGCATGTATATTTGTAAACAACAACTTAAGAAAAAGAAAACAAGGGGAGTGCGTGGGAAGGGGTAGAGGGAGGAAAGAGAAGGGGAATAATGGTGTGATTATATTATAATTTCAAAAACTAAAAAAAATTTAAAAAGACATAAAATTTCATGAAAGGATGAAGGCATCACTCTGAGCCTGGATATTTGTAAAAAAAAAAAAAAAATCAGGGAATCTTAAGTTGATACAAGGCCTTTGTGAGTACAAAGGATTTTACATGCTGATTTAATAGTTTTACAGGTATTAGGTTTTTGTCTATTTGGTGTGCTAAAACAAAACACCAACTCATGGCTTATACACAAAAGAAGTTCCCTTCTCAGTGCTTTGTAGGCTGGAACACTGTGGTGTGGACAACAGAACACGAATGGGTGTGCTGGGGTGACCCTGCCACCTCCTCCCCACGGTCAGATGCTTCCCAGACAGAAGCGAAGCACCAACGGATCCAGAGTGGGCAGTGGCTCTGGAGACTGTCCCTTTTCCAACCCTGGCCAGGCCCTGGCTCCTGGAACTCACCGGACAGGTAGGCAAAGCGCTTCTTCAGCTGCTCCTGGATGTCAGCGGCACAGAGCGGGACGATGTCCTGGTGCATGATTTCATCTGGAAGAAGAGCAGACGCACTGTCACTGGGAGGAAACCTGGCCCCACACTCCCTGAGGCCCTGGGAACAGCCCTCTGGGAGCCTCTGGAACAAGTTACAAACACCTAAGGAGCTGCGGTCACGTGGCTGGAAAAAGGCATTTCAGTTTCCAAAGAGCAGAGCAAGCCTTTGTTTCTCATAGCGCAAACGCTATGTGCTGAGTGATTCACTATCAATTTTTAAAAATGTGTCTAAGAGAAGAGGAAAGTAGGGAAGAAGGAGAATATGGAGATATGGAAGGAGGAGGGAGGAAGTGCTGGAGGGAAGGGGGGGGTAAGGGAGGCGGGCAGGGCCTGACTCACAGGTACTCATGTGCCTCCTCCTCCCCTGCTTTGGCAAAAGTGCAGGCACCGCAGGGCTCTCACCTGTTGCCTATGGATGACTTGCTGGCTAACAGGGACATCTGCCACCATCACAGACCTACGGCCACTACAAATCGCCAGATGTTCAGGGCCCTGTGCCTGCCCTTGCTCCTACCATGCACCTGATGCCTCTGAGGACTGAGACCTGGCTGCATGCTGGTGACTCTGCCCTGATGTTCCTGTAAGCGATAGATTAACATGGGCACAGAGAGGCAGCACCCCAGCTGTTCCAAGATGGCATGGACAAGTAGGACCTCCAGGACTCTCTGGGGGAAGCCAGCCAAACAGACCAAAGGTGGTGGTCCTGAGAGACTGTCTCAAAATAGACAACAACAGCAACAAAAGGTTGCTGGAACCTGAGGGACCACAGCTAAGGTCCACTGGTCCCCCTAGGCACATGCACAGATGGACACATCCTTGCACATACATGTACATGTACACATCTGATACATGATGTGTATCAGAATACACACAAGACATAATATTATGTAATCTAAATATTGTGGGGGGCACATAATCACTGGCCAGTCCATAAGGACACTACAGGTGGCCACGAGCAGCCAACACTGGAGAGTTTGGTCTTTACTGTCCCAGGCTCCAGACCTCAGCAGGCTGGTGACATATTTCTCTGCATTATATATAATCTTTTATTATTTCTGATGTGTCTGCAGCTGAAGAAAGATGGATGATCCCATGCCTTGAGACGAAAGATTTCTCATTCTCCTCAGTCAGTGTAATTTGTAGACTAGAGGTAAAAAAAAAAAAAGTATGGGGAATTGTCCTGCTTGGCAGGAAGCAGGTCACCCCTCCCTTAGTGGTCAAAGGCCAGGGCAGGCCATCTTTCACAGAGCTCCTCTGTGTGAGCACAAGGAGGTACAGACAACACCCCACATGGAGGGACCCCGGCCATGACCCTGCCAGAGTCAGAGGGACAGTTAGGAGGGGCTTTGGGACACCAGAGTAATAGGCAGTCTGAGTACACCCTCCCCAATTTCATGGCACTGCTTCCCCCTGGCTCCTGGGTCAGGACACAGGAAGTAAGGGAAGAAGGCAGGTGTCGCAGCTCTTGAAGAGCAACCTGGTTGGAGTGCCCTGATATGATCTTTCTAGGGTGAAGAGACCATCATCCCACATGAGAAATGAGTGAAGATTGCCATCTCAGTTTAGCTCAATTAAGGGCCTTCAACTACTGACTCCTACCCACACAAAGTGGCTGACAGATCCTGGACTCTTTGGGTATCTGAGTCCGCATAGGAGGAGCCATTCTTTGGTCTCTAGATATTTTTGTTTTGCAAAACTAGAGGGCTGAAGCAAAGATCCTTACAAACCAACTCAAGGTGTCACTTCTCACTCCAGTAGCTTCATTAAGGGAACCAGGTGGTGAGATACCGACATAGCATCTCATGCACTTCTGACCACTTGAGGGGCATTTTGACCTCTGGTTCTGCTACCCAAGGCCAGAGAAAGGGACAGACAACAACGAACACCTTAGGGCAAGGTGGGTTAGAGACCTGGCACGGGAAGGCAACCTGTGTGTGTGTGGAGGGGGGGCAACTGCTGTGAAGTGGGTGCTGTAGGTTTAGATGAGGAAGCTGGTCCCTGCTTTGTTGATGACTCTGACCAAGGCCCTGGGACTTAAAGGGACAAAGCAGAAGAAAGGGCTCCTTGCACAGTCTGTGGGGAAAGTGTGCCTTAGTCACATAGTAAAGTCTGTTATTTGCTAATTATCTCCTTTTATTTATAGCCAACAAAAAGCCCATCCCCAAGGGCTTTTGCTCACTGTCAATCAAACATAACGCTTCTTTTCAAAGTCCAAGGTTGAAGGTCAAGTGGATTACATCACCAGTCATAGGGTGGGAGATCAAGGTTGAAGGTCAAATGGATTACATCACCAGTCATGGGGTGGGGAGATTGGCCCCCATCAAGCCCCTCAGAGAGCCTCCAACCACAGAGATGGCCATATTCATGGAGAGGGGACACAGGGAAGGCAGCTGGGCAGAATAAAATTTAAATTCTGCGTACTAGCTTCAAACCAGCAGCATCCTCAGGATGACAGGTATGGGTAGAAGTCACAATACCAGCAGGCCAGTATTTCAGTCACTTGCTGGGACAGAGGGTGAACCTGTGATGCATACCAAGACCTACTGGTCAGAATTGGCAGAATTCTTACATTTTTAAGTCCTGGTTGGTTTTTTTTGTTTGTTTGTTTTGTTTTGGGGTATGTGTGTGTGTGTGTGTGTGTGTTTGTTTTTTTGAGACAGGGTTTCTCTGTGTAGCTTTGGAGCCTATCCTGACACTTGCTCTGGAGACCAGGCTGACCTTGAACTCACAGAGATCTGCCTGACTCTGCCTCTCGAGTGCTGGGATTAAAGGCATGCGCCACCAATGCCTGGCTATTTTTCAAAATTTACATCACACACACACACACACACACACACACACACACCACAGAACAACTGAATTCACTCTCACTAACCATCCTTGTCCCTTGATCGGAGAAACCAAGTTTTTGAAAACTGTAAAATAGAGGCCCATAATAAAGATGGAGCACAAGGCTTGATAGGAAAGCACCTCAAGGGCAGGAGGTTTGCTCCTCAGATTCACTCAGCAGAGAGCCAGGCCAGCAAGGGCTAGAAGCCATCGATGCTCACATGCCACAGGGCATCTGACAACCATGTGGGTAACACAGTCACAGACTGGCACGGAGGATTTCAGCACCCAGGGTGTCATCCCCAGCTCTGCCCCCCCCACCCCGGCAGGTATTTTCAATACCAGCCCACAGTTTTCAATTCAGTATGTGGGAACCAAATTGGAAACGCATCAGTGCATGGCAGGGAATCCACCAGCTTCACATGAACACACGGAACATTTTCTGTGTTGTTCACGCACACTAGGCATGACCCTGTGGTTGAAGGTCAGGGGTTAAACTCTCACCTTCCCAAGGGCTGTACTATTGCACAGGCAAACACCTGCCCAAGCATTCACACCCTGGAGTGTGGGTGTCACTATGCACGGTGGTTTCCAAGCTTGCAATCACTCCTTAAAGGAACACTGCACTCAGGAAGTTTGCTGTGCTCTCTGCCTGGCTCTCACAGGAGACATTGTTCACCCTCATCTTGGTTCCCACAACTGCATGGAGCTGGCAGGCATGACTGGCAGCCTCCTTGGCTACATGAAAGTTGGTAGTACTTGATCTCTTCTGTCACCTCTCTAGTGTCCAGCTCCCATTGTGGCATCTCTAGGGTCAGGTTCACAGAAAGATAAATACTACATGCAGAACCATCCCATACCAGCCATCACCGGAGAAGCCTGCAAAGTCCTCGGGTGCCCGTATTTCCCATCCCCAACTCTCTGGCCTCAGATTTGGCGTTGGAGTAGCACAGTATTTGGGGGCAGTGCTGCTGAGGCTAGCCCTCACTGTCAGGAAGTAGCCAGCTTTTCTAGGAAACACTGTCACACCCACTAAGCCACCACAAGAACAGTTTAGGGAAAAGCACAGGCAGAAAGCCCTCCCCTTTCTCACATCTACTACGAAAGCCATTGTTTACTGAAGTTTCACGGAAGCCTGTTCCCACAGTGAAAAACACAAGAGAACTGTGGGGATCCTTGAGCTTCAGTGTCCCAAGCAATTAAATTATACTTTAATTGGTTTGTACAGGAAACTATTCATCGTAGTAGCAATAGCAGCAGGCGCTTTCTTGTTAACGAATTTAACCAGCACACGCACTTAGGAGGTAAGGCTACTCCTTGCAATAGTAAGACAACTTGCCCAAAGCCACACAGTGATGTCTATGTGATTGCTGGGTCAATGTCAAGGAAGGGTAGACGGAAGAGCTGGCTGGCTTGAGGCTGCAAGGTGAGGACCCAGATCCGGAGTTTAGAAGTAGAAGCAAACTAAGGGTGTTGTTTCTGAGGCAGGGGGGCTGAAAAGGGGGCCTTGGAGAGGACCAGCTCCTCAGTGCCTCCCTATGGCCTGTTCAGGGGCAACATCCACAGCCTCGGGAGAAATAACACTACCATTTGTAAAGGAAATTCGTATCTATTCTGTGAGGTTTGCATCTTTGATCAGCTCCTTCCACACGCAGGAATGTATAGTGACCAGGGTAGCTGTCTCCAGGCTGTGAACTGCGGCTGTAGAGATGAATGGGAATGGTGTGTGGGGTCAGGGGAGAGGGGCAGGGGAATATGGCATGGCAAGTGGGACCTGGGGGTAGGAGGTGGAGGATGGGGCCTGGGGCCTGGGGCTCCACTTCAGGTTATGGCTGACGAAGCCAGGGCAGCATACAGGTGAGAGTGCAGCTTTCAGCCCAAGGCAGACCCCACATTGTCCTCATACAGAGCACTGTGCAGAGTTGTTTATGACATCTGTTCAGAAATCATTTTAGCGTGAGGTTACATTCCAGGCCAGTTGTCACTTTGGGACCCTGATTTCCTGAGACTGTCTGTAGAGCTGGCTGCTGACCAAGAAGAGCCCAGTGTCCTGGGCATGAGTTCTTGCTTGGCTGACAGGAGCTAACTGACTTTGGCCACTGGTCCTGATGTTACATCATAGCAATAGAAACCCTAATGAAGATAATTGCTTGACTGTCAGAGGCAGTCTCAAAAAAAAAAAAAAAAAAAAAAAAAAAAAAAAAACACAAAAAAAGGACTAGTGTGTCCTCTCCCTTCAGGGTGACCTGTACATCTGGTGCTGGTGACCTGCACATCTGGTAGTGTTGACATTTAACCATTACTGACATGCTGGATGAATACCTGCCTCTGCCCTGGTCCATGTCTGGGGTAGTATTTTCAGGGACCACCACCTAGCTCTCCAGCCAAGTTCTCCTCATGTGCTGTGAGGGTTTGCTATCACTCTAGTGCTGGCAAAAAGAATAAGGTGATGAGCAAGTCCCATAGCCTCTGACTCCCCGGGGTGGCTTGGCTACCTTTAGTCTCTGTAGGTCATCCTATAACCAATCATCCACAGACGGTCCCTGGGTTTGGAACAACTAGAGGAAGCCTGATGCAGAGCATCAGAGAAGGAGGGGTTTGGTCCTATAACTGGATGCTGCCACTGGAATCTGCCCGAGCCCACACCAACTGCCGCTCTTCCAAGCTGTCACCAAGCCTCAAATACTACACTTGTCGAATATCCTCTGACACTTGTGATAGTTGTCACATTGCCTTGGCCTAATTCTGAATGGTGTCTCATGGGAAATCAAAGCATTTACCAGCTAGCAGGCCCTTCCTAAGTGGGTTTGAGGAGAGAAGCCACTGGCACTTAATCCAGACCCAACAACGATCTTGATTTAGAGGATAGAAGACTGCAAAGAAGGAGGCGTGATGTCCCTGCTAAGACATGGGGTGGGAGCCACACAGCCAGCGGGGGTGGAGTGCAGAATGGTGTGAGTTTCCTGTACGACACATTTGCTGTGTGTGTGTGTGTCAGGGTGGGGCCAATGTATCTGACCTCATGGAGAGACCAACACCCCCACTGAAGCTGAGGAGGTGCATGCTGAGCTAACCTTCAACACCCACAAGACAGCCAGACCCAGGGCCAGGGAAGGAACTGGAATGTCGGTCAGCATGGCTGGACCTCCCAGCCTGCCCATGCTGACTGATGCTTGGCTCCTGGCCTGTGGCCGCTGGCCTCTGGGAAGATTCTTTTGATGCTCAGGCTGTAAAGTCACTGTGGCACCTTCCATCACACCAAGCAGCAGGACGGTGCACTTTCCTGAATGCCGTACAGAATCCTGTTAAACTTTAACTTTCCTGCAGGACACATGATCACCTCAAATCACCCCTGAAGGCATGGTGTCACCAAGGACCAGTGTACCATGCAGTCATGTGCAGCAGCCACTCACTAGTGGCTGTACCATACTGCTCACTAGAGCAGTACCATTTTGTGGGAGGCTTGGTGCATGCCCTTCCATTAGAAGGAGGTCATTTCCATGCTCTGGAAGATGTCACATCTTTTTTCATGGGACCAGCTCTATTTCAACCCACTGACCTCAGAGGCTTTCTCATCAGTGGGACATGGTGAAGAGGAGACATGGAAATGATGCCTGGGGTCATCCTCAAAGGTCAGAGGTCAGGAATGCTTAAGGTTCTCACAGGGAGAAAAATGAGTCTGGGGCCTGTGAAGGCTTCTGCTGTGTAACAAGCTAGCATCCTGATGCTCCTGGTCCTTTTGAGTACCCAGGGATTAGGTTTCTGTCATAGCGGCCACCAGCTTGTTGCCTGGAGCCTCTCCCAGCATCTGAGCAGGAGTGGCCCAAGGTGGCTTTGCAGAGTCCTCTTCCTCCTCTGCAGTAGTGGAAGGAGGCAAGGCCACGGCGCCGTTCTAGAGAGCAGGGCCAATCAGCAAGGCTGTCACTGATGACATTGTCTTTGGTTTAGTTAAGAGAAAAACATTTCATTTCAGTCAAGGGTTCTTCAGGGATCTGGGAAATCAAACTGTTTTCATAGTGACGTTGAGGTTACTTGCATTCCCTGTTCTTCTCTGAGCTTGGTAAGGCCATGCTCAGATACAGCGGGGCACTGTATATGCCACAGCCCAGCAGCTCCAGGGCCCAGACAAATTCACTAGGGCATAAGTCAGGGTTATCAGAACAAGATGGAACCAAGGACTCTTCCCATAGAGCTCATTCTGGGCAGTGATGATTTTCATTAAAAAATACCTTGGTCACTACAATGGGTTTGCCTTTTCTGTGAGTATTTTTAAATCTCTGGCAAATTTTTACTATAAATATTTGACATCAAGCGTTTGCAATTTCTCATTAAGTTTTATGAGATATCAAGTTTTATGAGCATAAAGGGGTCTAGCTCAGTGTCTGAAAATCTGCATGTGATGGTGGAGAAGTTGAGGAGCCTGAACCCCACTGAACATGGGTCTAGGAGACACACAGCTACGTTGATGGGTCCTTGGAGAGCACAGCCTGGTGCCCATTTCTTCACAGGAGTGCTTAGCTGCAGGGCTCTGCCATCACAGGTCACAGCTCACAGTTGTGGCCTGAGGGAGGGGGTGGTACGTGGCCTGTGCCCTCCCTAGCTTCAGCTGCCTCCTTGGCATACTGTAGATCTGGGACTGCCCTGTGGGCCTGGGTGCTGGGAAGGCACTGGACCTGGTTGCTCCACATGTTCACTGAACAAGGGACAGTTGATTAGGAGAGTGGATGAGAGTGAGCCCTGAGTAGAGTACTGCACAGGGCATAGGCTCAAGGGTCTTTGTGATTAAGGGCCACCCTGAGTTCCACAGTGGAGTCTGTGATGTGCTAGTCTATTTCAGTCCATCCTTCTTCCCTGCAGCCCCCAGTTCTTCTCTATGGCCTCTTAAAGTCCATGTGGCCCTGATGGCAGCTGAGGGCTCATTCTGGCCAGCCCCACCCTGCTAGAGGGGGTGCCTCAGCTGCCATATCTCAGGACAGCTGGAGGCCAGGAAGCCTGCTGGGGCTCTGATGACCACACAAACCTGACCTGGAATCACTGGAGGATGGGGGCCCGAGGGACACCTGCTTCTGCTCACCTATGTCAGGTGCCTTCTTATGCAGACATTGTAATCACACAGTTACTGACCCATGAAGCGTGGTTACATGACCATGAAACAGGGCCTCACTCATCCCATTTCAGACACAAATCAGTAAAGGCTAAGCACAGGCCACGGTAACGGGCAGCACCAGTCTACAGCTTGGTCCCACTCTAGGACCTAGCCTGAACCACAGTAGGCTTAACCTGGGCTGCAGAGGGAGCTGCTGGTGTGCATGGCAGGAACATCCTGCCCCTAACCACTGGTGACTTCCTTAGGCTGGCAGGTGAGTCTCTCCAGCAAGGGGACAGAGGCACGCTGGAGTAGAACCTGGGAAGCATGGGGATTCAGATGAACACAGAAGCCTGGGAGATGGCAGCCCCATAAGGGAGTGAGCAGCCTTTACCTCACAACCCATGGATGCAGCTCTACTGCATGGGTGGGTGTCCTTCGGTTGGGATCTCCCTGTGACCTGTGATGTTAAACACAGCTTCACTGAGATACATGGACAAACAGACACCATGAGAGGCTGAGGCGTGCAACACGATGCATGCTCACATCTTGAGATAATTTCCATGATCACTCCATTGCCTCAACTGCATATGTGCCTGTGCGGTTAGGAGAGTTCAGACTCACTCAGGAAATATTCATCAAAGTGCTATTAACTGGAGTTACCAGGAAGAGCTTCAGCCAGACCATGCTGCGTAACTGGGTCTTTGAATCCCCAACTCCAACCCCAACAGTAACCAGCACTCCTCAGCTCCCCAGCCCCCACCCAGTACTCTCATTAAATTTGGGGCCACTGTCTGGCTGTGATGATGGAGAAGTTGGGGTGTCTGCACCCCCACTGAGGCATGGGTCTGAGGGATGCATGGGTCCATGATGGATCCTTGGAGAGCATACTTCTGCCCTGCCTTTCTTTCTCCTGCAGAGGATGGTTCATTTTCCAGGCTCTGCTCAGTCCATCACACCGCAGGGCTGCGGAAGGACTCAGTGCTGGGGGGGGGGGCAGCGGTGCAGGAGGACTCAGCACTCACTCTCCTTCCTGGAGGTGCAGCCTTTCAGGTCCCACGTGGAATGAGTGAGGGCATGGCAGTAGCCTGTTGTGGAGTTACTTTAACTGTGTACAGGCGTGTTGCATTTGTTCATGCTGCATTTGCTTATCTATGTAAAGATGTGTTGCTGTTTCACCTTAACTGCCTAAGGCACCTGATTTATCTAATAAAAAACTAAATGGCCAATGGCTAGGCTGTAGACGGATAAGTGGGGCTGGTGGGCATAAAGAATAAATAGGAGGCGGAATCTAGGCTTTAGAGAGGAGAGAATGAGGGAGAAAGAGAGGGAGACACCTGGGGCCAACCAGCCTGTCAGCTGCCAGTGAGTCAAACATGGAGGAAGCAGGAAAGTAGGACACACAGAATGAAAGAAAGGTAAAAAGCCCCAAGGCAAAACATAGATGAATAGAAACAGGTTCAATTAAGCTATAAGAGCTAGTGGGACAAGCATGAAATAAGGCCACGCATTCATAATTAGTGATAAGTCTCCGTGTCATGATTTGGGGGCTGTCGAGAAAGCCTGCTACATTTGGCTGCCAACATGACACACCAAAATGCTGTTTTACCTTCATCACAGTGGCTGCACTTTAAACTACTAACAGCCTAATACTCGGGCCATAGCCTGGAGCGGGGAGGGATTCTGTTCTCTATCTTTCTAATAAAACTCCAGATTTAAGGGCTAGGGTAAAAACCTGCGGGTGCAGAGAGTCAGAGCAGTGACTGGCTAACTTCCTCTCTTTGCTGGTGTCCCCAGAAGCCTCTCTCTTTCCACACGGACCCAACTAAAAAACCCACACTATGTATGACCTTCCCTGATACTTCCTATCGGTTGCTAACCCCTCCTCATTGAGGCCAGTTTAATTTTATTTAATTAACACAAATGCAACACATCTTTACATAGTTAAACAAATGTACTACATCTTTGCCTAGATAAACAAATGTTCTGCAACCGCAGCCAGTTCTTTGTCTGGCTCATCTCACTGTTTCAAGGGGCTCTCTAGCTCATCCAGGCTCCTGAAATGACAGGATGTTGTTTTATGGCCAAGTTGTATCCCACTGTGTCTACGAACCACATTCTTTGCATCCATCCCCCAAGAATGACATCAAGGCTGATCTGCCCTGACTGTTGTGACATCTCAGTGAGTGGGGGATGCAGGTATAAACCTATGTGCGGCACATCTGGATTGTGCTGTAGTTCTGCTTCTAGAGTGCTCTCTGTGAGGCTCATCCTCTGCATTCCCACCAGCGGTGAAACCTTCCCCTTTCTCCACAAATCCCCTGTGATGGCCTAGAAAGCGCTAACCACAAACAGAATCCAAGAGGGGCCTTCTAATGATGGTTTGACCTTGGTATCTTGGGTACCGGCACTGCTATGCAATATTGACCCAGAAGCTCCAGACACAGTGCAGGTGACACTGAGCCAGTCTGCAGGAGGGGGGATGTGCTCTGGGCACTAGCCTTGCCCACCACACAGTGTCTGAGCTTCGACACTAGGCATCCTGTTTATCCTTACTGGCCTCCTGATACCAAAGAGGGATAAGAATTCTCCCCTAGTGAGCTGGAGGCCTCTAGCTGTCAAGCACAGCCTGTGGACACTGCTAATATCAATACCCTTGCTCTATGAAGACATTTCCAGGTACACAGTACCTACCACTTTGCTCTTGGCCTGCTGCGACTGACAAGGCTAAAAACGCCAGAGTGGCAGCTGCAGTTGTGGTCTCACAGGCTCCTAGGAGGTAGGATGTGGGCCACAGAGTGGGCGGGTGCAAGGAGGCTGAGGAGAGGAGACCACTTAGGTTATGCCCTTGACCAAGGTCACCACAAGACAGTGATACCTGCACTCTACCAGCCTCTCCTTGGACTTCCCCTCCAGGATGCCAGAGATGAAGCAGAGCCCAGGCAGTGAAAGTATTAGGACAATTCTTGCTGGTTCTTGGGGGCACTCTGACCTTTCCTGTATGTTGCTGATGAAGAGAGCCCACAGGGATAAGTGGTGGGTGTGCTGGCATGAGACACAGAGCCAGTGGGCAGCAGGGGGTATGACCATTCCCTGAATGACTCCCCTCATTTTACCAATGCTCCAGAACCGAGCCCACAAGCCAGGGTTAAGGGGTGCCCTCAAGATGGTTCCCACCCAAAAAAGGCAGAGCTGCTTACTGCTAGAGGAAGGCTCCAGCCTCTGCTTCCTGCCCCTGCATCCTGCCCTTACCCATCCAGGGGACCTCATAGTGTTCCTTGCAGTGCAAAGCAGAAAGAACTAGCTTCCAGATGCTGTGTTCCCAAACACCCCAGTCCAAGAGTCATGGCTGTCTGGCCATGCCCACTTCTGGGCTCAGGACAGGAAGAGAAGTCTTGGAAATCTCAGACAGGAAGTCTTGGAACATGTCTCTGAAGGAGCCCCGGGACGGGACTGGACCTGATGAGGTACAGCACCTGGAGAGGCATGTATGGTAGGATAGATCTTCAGCATGTCAGAGCCTAGCCAGGAGCCCGCATGGCACCTCAACCCTAACTATGCCCTGTTAGCCACACAGTAGGCTTTTGGTGCTGATGCAGGTAAGATCAGTCCAGCCTAGCCCAAGGCTGAGGCTGAGTGATGGGCTGGTGAGTGAGTGCCTGGTTCAGAACAGTTGAGAGGGGACAATGCAAAGAGTCCCATGCCACAAGTCCCTGCTCCCCAGGCAGGGAGCAGTGCTTTGTTCCCAGGGACACCAGGCTCTCCAAGGCCTGTTGCTAAGAGCCTCCTGGGATGGGATTGATGCTGTGCTCCTCTCCTAAATTCACAGAGGGACTTTTATCTCCTATCAAGCACTACAAGGCTTCTACAAATCTGAAAACAAACAATTATGTCAACCTTCACCAGAGAAAACAAACAAAACAATGTACTGAGGGGGGCAACCACACCATGGCAAAGGGATAGCGCGGACCCTGCAGCAGACTGTGGGCACACACAGGGGATGGCTGAGGGGACAGGTGATGACCAGTGGGGACTCAGAGATGATGAGCAAAATTAGTCTTGTCAGCCAGAGCCACCAGAGTGTGACAGAGTCACTGAGATAGAAAGCGAGATAGTGACTGAGAGAGCCCGAGAGACAGACTCAGTGAGACTGACAGAGAGGTGTGGAGGTGGGGCGGGTGGGGGTCACACACACCTGTGGGTCTCATGGATCCCAGACAGGCCTTGTCTGAGCATGTGTTCTCACACACGCCATTCCCATTCACCACCAGCCATGATAACCTCAAGGTCTCCCACCCTGGCTCAGGGACAGGCTTCCAGGTTCACCTGTCCCCATCAAGGGCACAGGCACTAATAAGCACTAGATGTCCCAGAAAATGGCTTCTGGGTGCCCACAGGGGAGTGTCCACTTAGAGAAACTGCCTACAGTTACAGAAGGCTGCTATTGCATTCATCGCTTGCACCAGCTCTTTATTCAGAAATCTGACTAATGGTTCCTGGAAGCCAAAGCAGAGACTGTCACCCTAGTCTTACCAAGTTCTCCCAGGAAAGACCTCTGAGTGGTTGATATCTTAAAAACACAGCACACTATATGAATGTGCCAAGAGTTTAAGGGGCAATTATAAATTCAGAACTTCACCTGGCTAAGAAACAAGTAGGCCTTAACTGTGATTCTGTATGGCCCCTTGCCTCTGACATGGACGGGGAATCCTCTATGGGCTACTCACTGACCCCAGTGGCTTCACTGGAAAATCGGGTACTCCATATTTATTTGTTGTCACAGAGCTGAGGACTGATTAACATTCACAAAAAACCTTTATGGGCCATTCATCAGTGCTTTGCAGAAATACCATCAGGAAATGTAATTATGACAAAATACCTCAAAAGGAGTGCCCTTCCTCTCTTAGAAATAATGGAGGAACTCTAAGCTACTTCCTTTCTGCCAGGCCCCTTGATCTCTTTTTTTTTTCCCCTGGGATGACTCTGCTCCCTTTCCTGGGGCCCTGTTCTTTTAGTGCCAAAGCCCAGCACTGGGCCGCTGGTACCATTGTCCAGCACCTGCCCTCCCACAGAGGCAGAGCCAGGTCTAAATGCAACTACAGAAGCCCCCAGAAAAGTCAGTCCACTGCCCAAAGGCCAGGGCCATCTAGTCCTGTATCCTGCTGTCCCTAGGCTCTCGCATCAAATGGGCAGCTATGGAGATAACACTTGCCAGGTATTCCTGCTAGGAGGAACCCAAAGCCATGCCACTGGCTCTGGAGGTATCTTCCACTTGCCAGCCGGCATGTCCCTGAAAAATCCGAAACAAAGGAGACCACTCATTTCCAGCCTTCCAAGAAGGTAGAAGCAGATGGAATTGCTGCTGTCCTCAAGGGACGCTCAGGCAGGGTCTGAGGGGTACTGCCCAGACCATGAGGGCAAGGCATCACGCCCCCACCCCATCCTGCCGGAAAGGGTGGTTTTTCTCTATAACCTAGCCAGCCCATGCCCCACCCCCCACTGCACCCTGCTGCATAAGCCACAAGAGTCTTCAGTCAACAATAGGACCCCAGCACCAGAACAATCCCACCTGGCCTCTATCCCCCACCCAATTATCACACACATACTCTCTCCACCCCACCCCCTGCCTCTTACAACACATCCATAGCAAACTCGCTCATTCCTAGGGAAACGGGGGACACAGCAGAGCCAGACGCACCTGCACTTGTCTTCAGCAGGAGCCACAGGGCTGTGACGTCCTGGGACAGCAGGGAGATGAGGCTCAAAGTCATGCTGTCGCCCTCACCACTGGTCCGTCAGGAGCCGGCGACCTGTTTGCTGGCAAGCCCGCCTGGGGCGCACAAAGGAAACCAGCGGAGCTCCATTTTGGGCGGCTGAGTGGGGACACTGCCTCCCTGGCTTTGCTGCGCAATGCTGGCCTCTGAGTGCCGCGAGCTGCGGCTGCCGCTTGTGCTCCTTGCAGGGTCTCAGATTTGGATTCGATGTCCTGATTAAGGAGCTAGAATCAGCTCACTGATCCTGCTGTACATGATTAACTGTTGAGAGCCTGGCAGCAGCTGAGTCCTGCTGACTGCAGAGCCAAGCGGCTTGTTGTTTGTCTGGACCCTCCCTGCAGGGGCCCTACCTCAGTCAGGTTCCATCCACAGGGACAGCCGGGCATAGGGACCTAAGCCATAGAGGCCCCAGCTCAGCCAGGTCCTATCCACCCACATAGCCCCGGGGGAGCAAGCCCTTAACCATTGGAGCTCCAAGTTTAGCCAGGTCTTGTCCATTCAGACAGCCCTTGGGTGCAAGGTTCACCCCCTACCCAGGCAGACTGTTCTTCTGGGTGTAACCCTTAGGCTCCTCCATTCTTCAGAGGGTGGGCACTGTGGTGGTGGAGGGAAGGGCTCAGAATTGGGGTCTCTCGGGTTCCAGGATCAAAAGCAGCTTGCTGGAGCTTGGACTCATTGTTTACACCATCTGCAGCCTCAGTTTCCCCAGTTTTAAAACAGGTGAGACAATGAGAATGCTCTTGCAGTGCTTTGCAAGACTTCATCTCCCTGGACAGTAGTCACCACTCCTGTCCTGTGACAGCCACCAGGTGGTGATAAGCAAGGACACTAAACCTTGGATCTCACACTAAGCCTGTTCCTCTGAACAGCAGCCATGTGATGGCCTCTCTGCCCCAAGTCCCCACCATTGTCAGAACTCCCTCAGTCCCCAATGTTATCTATGCCTAATGAATTGTTTCCTTTACCAGAGTCTCTTGCCTTTGGCTAGGACTCTGGTGGCTGGGCACATGCCCATGGAGCTGACCCGGATGGCTTGCTCCAAAACATCTGGTGTTCCTGCCTGCCACCAACAGAAGGAAACATATCTCAGGCCAACCTTGTCTGGACCCAGGTGGCCATGCCATCGGAGGCTTGCTACCACAACATAAATAGATGTGCCAGGCTCGCAGTCTGGGATCCACCCTCATCCTTCCTCTTGTTCTGACTCTGTCCTTGGTGGGTGTCACCTGCCAGGTGAGTCCTGTTCTCTCAGTCTCATCTTTCTCAGACTCTGACGTCATGCATATCCTCTTCACCAGCCCACAGGGACAGGAAAGTTGCTGGGGCCACCGAGCAGACCAAGGCATGATTCTCGGCATAGAGGGCAGGCAACTACCTTCTCCCATGTCCAGCTTCCAGTTCCCCAAACTTGAGGCAGACAAGAGTACACCCCACTCCAAGTACCTACTTTGTGGAGACATGTTCAAGGCTGCCAAGGTCCACCCCCATTGAGGCTACTGAAGGTCCATGGTCCCCTACTGAGCTTGAGCCCAAGGACAGTGAAGGCACCGGGTGACTTCGGGTACCCACACTGCAGTTGGCTCTTATGGAGTGAAAGCAAAACTGTAGCTCTGAGAAACAAACTGCTTACAAATGGAGTTATTATTAAGCCCAGGGACAGGAGGAAGTCCAGGCCTGTCCTCTGCTGAGAAGGGGCCATGTGACAGAGGGAGCGCCTGCCTGGGGACAGAAGCAAAACCCATGGAGCTGGCCAGTTCCTTCTTCTTGCTTGCTCTTCTCTCCCAGGCTCTCTGTGTTCCCAGCCCCCTGCTTGTCACAATTTAAGTGTGCAAAATGACGAGAGAACTGCCGGGCACATGGCAGGTTCTCACTGGTTCATCAAGTGAGTGATGTGTTAGAGGGGATGGAGACCCCACCAAGGCCTGCCGTGGTACACTGTGATACAGAGGGAGAGGGCATGGAGACCCCACCGTGATACACTGTGACACTCTGTGACATACTGTGATACAGATAGCTGGCTGCTATCTTGTGTCCAGGCTTCAAGATGTTCTTGTGGCCCTGACCGGTCACTTCATGATTTCTTTTTGGGAGAATAACTCTCTCACTACACTGAAATCTTGTCACCTCACAGGTCCGTACCATTCCATCATACTAGAGGGTCTGACCTGACTTGAGCAGTGCCCTCCACTCCCTAAAACCACAGCTCATGAGCCTTGCCCACACTTTCAATATGGCACAAAAGGGACATCCTACAATGCTAAGGCCACCTTCCTGGTCTTCTTTGCAGACTATGTCTGAGATACGTAGGCAGCCCAGCCTGCAGCAGATTCTTGGCCAAGCCCAAAGCCTGGGAAGTATTGGAAGTGAATGGAGACATTTAGTGGAGAACCCCAATGCAGGTGTACAGAGAACGGCCCAGAGAAGCAGGGAAGTTCCTAATTCCATTCTGGGTCTGTGGTAAAGCATAACCACAGCCATAGTAGAGTGAATGGAAACTAGCTAAGCTTTCGGTGAATACGGTCAAAGAAGCTGAGAGTTTAGGAAAGAAGCCACTGTCAAGAGGGGGTGTGTGTTCCTTTATAGACGAGCTCATGTACCTACTGTCACTCAGGCCCTAGGAAGCAAAAAGGACTGAGATGGTCATGTTTCAGCCCTACAGAAAGCAGATGCTCAGAAAGGATGGAGCTCCTCTGAGGGCATGTTATCTTCCCATGTAGGCCGCCTTTCCTGAAAGTGTATTTCAAACCTACAATTGTTCGGGTCCTTAATCACACACGTCTCCTTCCCCAAGGTCACCTGTCCTGCGGCAGCCCCCCTCCTGACCCCTGAGCCCTACTGCTTGTGTGGATCTTCTACCTGTGCTCCACTGTGTGCTAGTATGCCACGAGTGTGTGGAGCATATGTGTGAGCTACCCAGCCCTATGTGGCTGAGCTCTGTCCCCATCTTGCCTCTGCTTTGGACCCACTGCACCCAGAGCACACTGCATGGCAGATAGGTCACTGCACCCAGAGCACGCTGCATGGCAGATAGGTCACTGCACCCAGAACACACTGCACAGCAGACAGACACTGTCCAGGCCTTAGAGGGGATGGGTTGAAGCAGGAAACTCAGAGCTGCTGTGCAGACATGTCTCTGGGAGTCTCCTCCATGCTCTCCTATGGTCCTTAGAGGCCTGGGGATAACATGATTCCCAGGCAACTGCTGGCTAGGGTCTTGCCCTTGTGTCAGCAATCATGTGCTACACGCCCCCACACTCTTCCACATAGTGCTTTGTGCCGGGCCCTACTGATGTCCCCCATCACACCAGGATGAGACCCTCTGGCTTTGCAAGTAACGATGAGCCCTGTGGATAGAAAGTGTGCTACTTAGCATGTGTGTGCTCAGTTGCCTTATTCAAGAGCTGGGACAAGGGGCAAGGTCAAAGGGTAGGGAAGAATTTCTTGGACAGCCTCCAGGGCCAAACCCTAGGTCTGGGTAGCTGGGTAGTCTGTGGATGCCCGGCAATAAGAGAGAATAGAGTATGAGGATAATGCCTTACTTGGTCTGTGACTGCTTTCAGACCCAGGCAGACAGCTGAACCATGAGGCCCACCCATAGAGGGTCACAGCCTGGGAAGCAGCTGACATAGTTACAGGGACTCAGGAGTGTACAGCCAGGAGTCAGTGATCAGCAGGCCCCTGGCATATGGAGGAGTTTGCCACACTTCTCAAAGACTGGAGTAGCATGATAGTTCTCATTTCATGTCTTTTTCCTCATCAGATGCTCCAAGAGGACACACACACTCACAAGGCCAGTGGTGGGAGCCTGGGGCCTACATGTGCCATCCAGCAGAGGCCCAGTGTTTTGTGATTGGTACAGAAAACTCTGCAAGGGGGTTGTTAAGATACACACATCATTCAGCATGCTGAGATAACACATCATTCAGCATGCTAGATACACACATCATTCAGCATGCTGAGATACACACATCATTCAGTGTGCTGAAATACATGCATCAGTGTGCTGAGATACACGCATTGTTCAGTGTGCTGGGTGAAGTGGTTTTACTGACTGGTGAGGCCTTTTCTACCAAAGGTAGAAACAAAAGGTCATTTGAGGGCTAAGGTATAACTGAGTGGAAGAGTCCTTGCCAGACATGTGCAGGACCCTGAGTTCCATTTCCAGACACACACACACACACACACACACACACACACACACACACACACACACGCATGGTGATTTGACAGGGCTCTACCTGACAATACCTGTAAGGAAACTGTGACAAGCCAAAGCACAGTTCCTTCAGAGACTGAAGTATCAGGAGAACGCTGCTGCTGAAGGCCCTGAGGGAGGGACAGCCAAGCCTCCTAAGGGAAGGAGACTCCACCTTCCTGAGACTCGGACTTCACTGTTCACCCACAGTGGTTCTCAACCTTCCTGATGTTGTGACCCTTTAATATAGTTCCTCATGTTGTGCTGATCCACAACCATAAAATTGTTGTTGTTGCCAGACTCTGGTGGTGCACACCTTTAATGCCAGCACTTGGGAAGCAGAGGCAGGTGGGTCTCTGTGAATTCGAGGCCAGCCTAGTCTACAGAGCGAGTGCCAGGACAGCTAAAACTACATAAAGAAAACCCTGTCTGGAAACAAACAAACAAACAAAACAACAAAAGAAAAAACAGCCCTCCAAATTATTGAATTATTGTTGTTGCTACTTCATATGTATAATTTTGCTATTGTTATTAATTTTAATGTAACTATCTGATAAGCAATCCTGAAGGGGTCATGACCCACAGGTTGAGAACCACTGAGTTAAAGTTGAGAAAGTAATTGTTGGCTCTGAATTCCCCTCTTCACTGAGGAGAACTCCAGGTTCTGTCTCACAGGTGGTCCAGCCTTCCCCATGAAGGGATGGATGGCTTATTTATGCAAGGAAACAGCATTATCAACCAAATTTCAATTTTTGGCACATAGTACTTAAATATCCTATTTTTAAATATTTATTTTACTTTT